TAAATATCGGTTGTTACTTAATTTTCCGGCCGAATGTTAAGATAATGTCGCTGTTTAGGCGCCGTTAAATAGCCAGGAAAAATTAATGTATTGTTATTAGTTTGACTTTTACATTTCGAACCAGCCTTTTTACTGAGAATAGTACGGGAAATTTGCCAAGAGAGGCAGAACTCACTATAGGGATAAATAATATTAACAGTTGGTTACATTTTCTAGAAATTTTGAGATTTCTACATTATTGTCTTTACTACCAGAAACCCTTTTTTAACATTAAAATGATTCCGCCGATATGTTAATCTATTAACGAGCAAATGCAATTTTTGCGGTCGATTTTTAATTCGATTAAGAAACCAATTAATATTGAAACAGGATACGTTTTAATCAAACATTATTCAGTTTTATTCAATTACAGATACCACGAAAAAAAGCCCCTTAATTGCATTCAAGAAATATAGGTAATTAGTCGAGATTAGATTTGAGAGAATAATTTTAAACGGCCTTCACAGTTTATGCTTTCTTAGGAAGCCGGTAAATATATACGTTTTAGATGATTATACACGTTTTAGTTGTATAGTTAGAATCTACGATTTTCCCCACAAAATAGTCCAAAAGTAACCAAATCGAAGCGTTTTTTAGAAGCCTCATTAGTACCATTTTTTTTCAATACTTCCAGAGTTTCTTTATATTTTTGATTTCGTAAAATATAATACGAAACAGTTTTTCCCTTCCAAACATATACCAAATTAAAGCGTTTTTTTAAGAATTAACATTGTATACAGAGCGTCCCAATTTTTTCCAAATATTTCCAGATTTACTGATGTTTGAATATATGTAAAATAAAAACGACACATCCTGAAGGAATTTAAAACGAAACACTTCCAATAAGAAGAGGAGCATAAACAATTCTAAAATGTCTATATCTATACGCTACAAGTTGTCTCTGGGACACGCTGTATAATATTTACTTGTCGATGAAAAAAAAAAAAAAAACGCACATATATACACAACATTTATTACATAACGCAAGACGGTACTACTGGCGATTATCGTGGCATCATCGCCGAAAGCGATCGCACTAAAAAAACTATACACGGACAACTTTCGATTTTAATCGATCGCTTTTCATTAAGACCACGCTTACTACTAATTTATTTAATTTAAAAAAATAATTAAATACTTCATTTTTAGTACCGTTTTATCGGCAACGGTGCCAGGATGTTACTTAATAATCGGAAGTACTGTAAGTGGATGCAAATTTCAAAATTCCCTTACACCAAACAGTTTTGGATTTACAAAAAAAAAACAATCAATTTAGAATCGAAACATCTCGAGTACAAAACGCCTCAGCTCGATGTAAAAATTCATTTTTTGGTAAATCGCCATTTGGTAAATCCTCTTAAGAGCGTTCGAAGAGAATGGCATTTCTCTTGGATAAGAACGAGCCGGTGAAAGTGCTTGGAAATAATTATGAAAACGAGTGAAACCGAATTCGAGACCGTGACCCGGCCGTGCATTCTTGCAAATGTCTCTTTCGATCCGTTCGGGTTCGTTTTTCCGAATAATAACACTCTCGACTATAATAAAATAACGATCCAGAACTATTTAGAATGATCCACAACCTTTTAGAAAGCTCCAGAACTATTTACAACTATCTAGAACCATTTATAACGATCCAGAACTATTGAGAATGCTCCACAACCTTTTAAAACGTTCCCAAACTATTTAGAACTATCTAGAACCATTTATAACGATCCAGAACTATTTAGAACTATTTAGAATGCTCCACAACCTTTTAAAACGCTCCACAACTATTTAGAAAGCTCCACAACCTATAAGAATACACTACTCAACCTTTTAGAACACTCCAGAACCATTTAGAACATATCGAACAAATTAAAAAAACTAGACCTTCTTCTTCCAACTCATTTTAGACTTCTTCTACTAAGGCTATTCGGCCAAAACGCCTTCGAAAAGCACAACAACGATTGCCAACGAACAACCAAAAAACAGTGTTGCCAAACAAATTCCCATCGACGAGGAAGTAGGTAAATTATACACCGGCGGAATTATAGTTAGGGATACTTCTTTCTCCCCGCATAATCTCCCCCCAAGTTGTATATTCTATATGTTTCGGCGAGAGCAATAAGTGGTTATCACACCCTGACCGATGTCGAATCAACTCAACCATAAGGTTTATTTGTCAAACGTGCGGGTTGGGCCCATGGGAATCATTTACGGTATTACAGTCGGGAATAATAATTAAAACCACTCGACTGGCATATTGTCGAGATACCGCAAGCCGTATATGCGGGTAGGTGAAGCGTTTTCCTATATACAGGGTGTTCAATATTTAAGGGGCTGAATTTTGCGACCATTTTAAGAAAAAAACTTCGTATGAACTTGTGTAAGATCGCCCCGGAACCATTTAGAACGTTCCACAACCTTTAAAAACTCTCCAGAACCATTTACAACCCTTTACAACCTTTCAAAACGCTCGAGAACCATTTAGAACGATCCACAACCTTTCAAAACGCTTCAGAACCTTTTAGAACGCTCCACAACCTTTAAAAACTCTCCAGAACAATTTACAACCCTTTACAACCTTTCAAAACGCCCCAGAACCATTTAGAACGCTCCACAACCTTTAAAAACTCACCAGAATAATTAAGAACCCTTTACAGCCTTTCAAAACGCTCGAGAACCATTTAGAACACTCCACAACCTTAAAAATAACCTATAAAAATGTTTCTATGGTGGGAAAAGGCGTTTGATTAACGTGGATTAGTAATTTTGCGTTTGATTCCATACATTTTTCGGTTACTTTTATTGTCACCGTGTATTTTCGAATTGAAATTGCTCCGCTTGTTTACCGTCAGCAGCGTAATAAACCAATAAAATAGAATAATCGAATCGAAAATACGATTTAAATTCTAACAATAATTATTAACGGCATAAACGGTCACGTTTTCATTCTCCGCAAATGCTTCGAGAGCATTAATTGGAATAAACAATAGGAGAATATAATGGCATCCGTGATGAGTGTAATTTCGTATAAAAAAAAATAAATAAAGACGATTCTGTCTCATCTAGGTCAATGAAAATAAAACGCCGAAAAAAAAAAACACAATATAAAGAAATAAAAAGCCGGCAAAACTTTATGAAAGCTCTTATTGTTAATTGTTTTAAAAAAAATCAAATGAAAGTAAAAGCGTAGAGGTGTGGTAAACGCATTTACATTTTACACGATTAGAGCCTGGAAAATATGCATTATAAAGTGCATTACACATGCATAATTATACAGTTCTAGACAGTTTTAGATGATCCTGGAGCATTCTAAATGAGTCTGGACAGTTCTAAATTGTTCAAGACAGTTCTGAGTGATTCTGGACTGTTTCAAATGAGTCTGGAGCGTTCTAAATTGTTCTAGGCAGTTCTAAATGGTTCCGGAGCATTCTTAATTGATCTCGATAGTTCAAGATGATCCTGGAGTATTCTAAATGGGTCTGGAGAGTTCTAAATTGTTCTAGACAGTTCGGAAATATATAATCGTCGATTACAAAACCATTCGATTATAGAAATCTTCCGAATTCAGGTGTGTAAAACGCTGAAATTGACCGGCGCAAGTACCTCGTAATTATTTTTCGTCCCTCCTCCATCTCTCCGTATTCTCTTCTACGATTTATTTGCGAAATATAACAAGCAATCGGCGTAATTCCAAACGGTTACGTCAACGTCGATTACCTTAACCGAACGATCGTCGAATAATATACGCGAGAAAGTGAAAACTAAAAAATGCATCGGGGAGTTCGAATTGAAAAAGAGAGTCTCCGTATGTGTGTCGAGCGAGACACGCAGATGATCGAGAATGACAAAAAATTTATGCTTTCGTAATGTTTGTTTGTTCGACGTCGAGGAAATGGAAAAACCAGCGTTTATGACGTCACGTTATTGGAGTATTGAGCAATCCTTTGCGATGTAATTGCCCTTGGTTGTGTCAATTGGCGTATTGACAGCCGCGTAACCGAATAACCCTAGCAACTGAGCCCTCGAAAAAGGGAAGAGGAACTTTTTCGAAAAAAAATTGTAAATTAGAATCTAGTTACGAACGAAACATAGTTATCAATACACTTTGTTGCACTTGCATGTAAAAAGCGATAAAACGGCAATTATCACTGTAGCATTCCAGTGAGGTATTTAGTACCTTTACAAGTTCAAAACTACACCGTACATTTGCATAAAAATACCGAGAAAATATTAAAAAAAAAAACTCCTTCCATTAACAATAAAATTAATTAACGTTTAATATCGCTATTTATAGAACGTTTCGTTCAACTCGAAGTTGTTCGCCTTCGCGAAAAAACAAAGGGAAATAACGTAGATAAAAATCTCTAATTGAATGTGTCGAAGTTATTTTCGCTTAGAGAAACCAACCAGTTTTCCATTTTCCATTGCGATTTGGTTCGATTAATCGCGCTTTATGAGGAAAACGTGCCGATAAACAATCCGCGTTATTCGAACAGAAAAAAAAATGATAATAATAAAGACGTAATTGTAAATGAATAGTCGTAATTAGAGGAATTTTAATTGCTTAATGGCCTTTCACTGTGAAGGTGAATCATATCTTACATGTAAGTAGTTGGTACTTTTTCAATTACAAGGCGTAATAATGTTTGTTATTATTAGTTATCAATTCGATCGAATAGTTCGAAAAAGATCGAAACTTTCTAATCTCACCCGATGGTTTTCGGGAAATTTCATCCATTTTTTTTCCTATTCGAGGTGTTCATGCCCACCAGGTGGCGTCTTAATTTGACAACTGTCAAATCAAACTGTGAAGAAGAGGAATAACAAAAAAAAAACTAACCTCATATTCATCACGTTTAAGATTCAAATAAGCAACGTTGCCACGTTTAGAATTCGGAAATATACATGTATAATCGTTGGTAACAAAACTAGTTACTAAAGTTACCAAAATCGTCGATAAAAATAAATAATCTTACCTTAGAAAAAATCGACGGCGGGCGTCGGAAAGCCTCTCAATTCGCCGACGGTGGCCGCCAATCGTCTGGCGTGTTCGAGCACCACGGGGGCGGTCACCAACCCCAAATGCAAGCAGTACACTTCGTAGCATTTGATCTTCGACGGCGGAGTTTTCGGAAAACACGTTTTCCTCAATTTCCTGCAACGAAAACGATAACCGTTTTACCGCCAAACGAAACACCCTAAAAAACCTACTGACGTTTACAAATCTTTCGTTCGTTTAGAATAGAAAAATGACCACCATTTCGAACTCACATTGCGCAAGCTCGTCTCATAACGACAAATTCAAAACGTCAGTTACTCGGTGACAAAAACGAAAATTGTCCATGTTATTTACAAGTAAAAATCCTCGGCCAAGACGCCGGGCCAGCCGGTCATCTCTTTAGGCGTCGCCGTCGGTTTGAGTCCTTGCCCGTTGGAGTCCTCGAACCACAGGAAATAGGAATAGCTGAAGCTGGCGTCCTTCCAAATGAACTGCGTCAGGCCCTTTTGGAGTTTATCCTTCGCCACGTCGATCATGTGGAATATCTATTGAATATATAACAAATAAATTAACCTACTACACGCTGTTGTGTACTATACTTGCTTTATTTTTGTTGAACAACCCCTCCTGCGTGTCCAAATCCAACGTAGGTGTGGTTATCCTGTTGACGTTCCTGTCCACGTATATGAAATGTATCAAACCGGGGAATTCCTCCAAATATTTATTTATGGTTAGGGAATCTCTAGTACACCGACATTAAGGATCAAAAAAATGATAGATGGCGTACATGATGCGATTCGTACGATTAGTAAACGAGCGAGTTGACACAACAAAAAGGATATGATCCCAGCGAGAAGTTCTTGATGCTTTTGGCTTTGAAAAAATCCTCGTAGATTTCCAATTTATTTTTCACGTCCGACGCCGCTTCCGAGGCGAATTTAGAGCTGAGCCTCAGCACGCTGTCGTCGACCGACGTCAGGCTCAGCAATTCCTTGAGTTGCTCGAGGAATCCCAAGCCGAGCGTTTCGGCCCTCAGTATGGCCTCCTCGGAGGCGGTCTTCAGGTACTCCTGGTATTTCTTTTTGATGACGTCCCATTTTTTCGCCAGCTGCCTGTGGCACGATTCGATCGAGGCCGTCTTGGATTTTCGCAGGCTCTCGTGCAACTTTCGATTGGCCAAATCGAGATTTTCGTAGGCGAGCTGCAACGTCTTTTTGTCCCTTTGAATTTGTACCTAAAAATCAAATGTTAACGATAAGTAATCGATAATTCTAAGTCATTTCTAAATGATTCTAAATTCCAATCACCTGTTGCATGGTGTGCAAATGACAGAAGCATTCGTACAAGCTAGCAGCAATCGCAGGATTGCCAATTTCTAATAAATAAACCACGAATATCCCGTTCGATAGCGGTATAACGTGTACGGCGTGCGGTAGACATTTCGGGGAATCCTCCGAACCGGATAACAACACTTGATAACTTCTAATCTCCTTCGACGAAGCTTCATCACAACTTGCGCATAAAATAGTAGCGAATAATATATCCGACGGTGACAATTCCTTGGCAGTTTGACTACAACGATAAGCAATTGAACAATTACTGACTTAGATTAAAATGTTACAATTTACCTGGAATATAAGGATAGAATTTTGTTTTGCACTAAAATCAGCGAGTGTATTTTCTTGCAATCCATGTGGGTGAGGATTTTATTGACGGATTCTCTTAGGACTCGAAGGGCTGTCGTGCCGAGTTCTTGATTGATGAATAGTTGTTCGACGACTTCCACGTACATGGACTGATCGTGGGAGATCAAGTTCGACCAACTGTCTATCAAATTGTTGGCTAGAAGGGATTTTTCCTCGCAAGCTTTCAATCTGGAAATTATTCGTTGATTTGGTATAGCGGTTGGTTAATTGGTAGACTTACTGGTAGACGTCCGGTCCGCATAAATACCTAACGATTGTTACGCTAATGTTTGTGAACCATTTGAGGAATTGCTCTTTTTGTTTCGATATGGCCACGAATAAATAGCCCATATACTGCAAAATATAAATAAAACATTATGGGCAAATGAAGAATTCAAAAGACGCCATTTTAAACGTCGAAATTGACATGCAAGGCTAACAAGATTAGATTGGTAAACAGAAACTTCAATTATTTCAATCGCATAAAGCTGTGAAAAAATTTGTATTAATTGTCAAAATTGACATGCCAGGCTAACTAGATTCGTTTGATAAATAGAAAGAGTAATTATTTACGTACTTCTTCGAAATACATCACCAAATTATCTTCGCATTTAATGGAAGTATACGAATTTCCGAATTGGCAGCTCATGATTCTGTGCGATGTTACTATAGGAGAAAATGTTTGCACTATAACATTGGGATCGATGGTTTTCCCATTGTATTCCTAAAACCGAAAGATTTCCACTACAATTATTTACGAGAGATAAAGATATTTTTTACTCACTTTCGGTAGCAGTTCTTGTTCGATGGCGAAGTTGTTCATGTGTGCAGCGAAAGCATCGTTGTATTTTGTGTGAATTATGTCGTTTAAATGGTCAAATATTAGCAAGCAATTCATTTTTTTTTCGAAAAATAACTAATCGATTTTTGAAAATAACTAATAGGTTATGGAGGGCTTTAAGCAGTCGTACCAATAGACCCTAGAAATTTACTAAATTTTTTTGTGTGAAACAAGATGGCGTTAATAATCTCGGAGAATGTGTCAACAGATGGCGCTGCGGATTTAAAGTGAAAATATTTTTAAATTGCATTAAAAAATGAGGTATGATATTAATAATAACAGAAAGTTTGTTTTTATTATTCTCCAATTATAAATTTGAATTTCAACATGGTATTTCCTACTAATTCATAAACGTTAACAATAAAATTGACACTATACGATACAACATACAAACATTTTTGCGTATACGAAAATATAATAAAACAAATTTGCACATAATTACGTCAGTCTCATACAAGTGTAAATTTTTCATACAATTTTAATACTTAAACATTATAAGTTTGGTCGTGTGTGCATTTATATCAATGCCATATATCCTAAATAATCGATCACAACTCGTCAGACATTTGCCTTACCAACGCCGCCTTCGGTATAAAAACCGGATCGTAAATCCTCCTGATAATCCATTCGACGCTAAACGAATCGCTATATTCCACGTGCTTCGTCAAATAACCCAATACGGTATCACACAAATACGTCCTAAAATCCCCCACGAAGTTCCCGTTCACTTCGACGCGCTCCAGAAACTTCACCGTCGACTTCAACACGCATATCACAGATTCTTTCGTTTTGTACAGCATCATCGGCGAGTCGTTCTTCAACAACGAGTCGAGCAATCGAGTGGTCACCAATAGAGCGTGTTCCTCGATGAAAATCGACTTGTCGTCGTAGCTCAAATCGTCCTCTAACGTCCACAGCAATTTGTAGAGTAATTTGTTGCAATGGCCTCTAAACGACACGTTCTCGGCGTACAAATTCAATTCGCCGCTCTCGAACACCTAATGATAATTCGAAAATTAGTTAGTCTTACACATTAAAAAACAATCTTGTTATTAGTCAACTTTTATCAATTCGATTTTGCTCTGTTACTTTTATCCGTCTGTTAAGAGTATTAACTGACATTGGCGAATATGTCCGTTAATGCACTATTGTTGAGACCTCATTTTCTATGGTTATTCAGCCATAATCAACAGGGTGGTCGTGCGAGAATATTACCAACTCTCACCTCGGACGAATCGTTGTTGGACGAGTCCGGAAAATGGCGGCAACACCAGGAAAACAGGAAACAAATGGCCTTGTCCTTCGGTAGAATAATGGAAGCCAATGTGAGCAGATCCTCGCGCGCCTTCTCCGGTATAATCATCCATCTTTGACCGGGACTAAAAGAATCAATTAATCAACCGCTTTTTTTCAAAACCATCCGCCAATTGTTAGGACTTACATCGGCTGTTTGGAATTGTTCCCGATCGTTATTCGTACGTTCAATACCGAAGCAAATTCGCTCATGCTGTTCCTAATCGTTATATCGTCGTCTTCTAGTAGCACCATGATGATGTTTAGCACCTTCAGCAGATTGTCGTCTAGAAACAAAAGTCCAAGACAATTTAGAACGCTTCAGAACTGTTCTGGACAATTTAGACTGCTTAAAAACTGTCCATGATAATCTAGAATGCTTTAGATTTGTTCATGACCATTTAGGAAGCTTTAGAACTGTCCAGAACAATTTTTAATGCTTTATAAATGTCCAGGCCAATTTAGAGAGCTTTAGAACTGTCCATGATAATCTTCTAGAATGCTTTAGATTTGTTCAGGACTACTTAGGAAACTTTCGCATTGTCCTGGGCAATTTAGAAAGCTTCAGATTTGTTCGGCACTATTCAGGAAGCTTTAGAACTTGTCCGATACAATTTTGTAACCCTGTAACAACTGGTAATACAACTTATACCGATGTTAACTAACCGTTCAGAATCCTATCTTCGTTACAGTACAAAACGTAATTCTTAGTCAACAATTCGCAGACAGCCAGTCTTCTGGCCTCGCTTGCGGCGGGCGACGAGCTCTCCATCAACGCCCCAATCAATTCGTCGTACTTCAAAACGCGATAATCGACTTGCAGCAGAAACGCGCTCGCGCAACATACCACAGAACACGCCGCTTCCTCGTCCCTACCGTCGCAGGCGCCCAACAGAGCCCTAAGGGTCTCCTGTTTGTTGGCGTTTAAGCGCTTCGTAACGCACGGATAGTAAATAAACAGCACATAGAAAGCGGCGCGGTCTTCGACTCTCACGCACCGGCCCGTTTTCAGCTCTTCGGCGAGGAACCGCTTGACGGCCTCGTGCGAGTTGGTCAGCAGCTTCGCGATCGTCGATTTCGATAGGGCGTCGACCAGCGATCGCACGTCCGAGGGCGTCCGCAGGTCGTCGGTCTTGTAGAGCGGATGTTCGAGGCCGCAATGGCGCCGGTTGAGGTAAACCAGAAGGTTCAAACAGTAGGTTTTCGCGTGGATGTCGCCGCGGTGCAATTGGTGCGTTAGTTGGTCGGTTACCGTGCGGTAGGTCAGCTCGGTTTCCTCGAATTTGTGCAATATTATGAACAATATTAGAGACATCCTGACGGGGGCGAGTCTCGATTTCGACGTGGTAGGTGCTTGGCACGATGCGGTTTGCTTCGATAGAATCCTCATGACGGTTTTGAGCGTTTCGAGGTCTTCGTATTTCGGATAACTAAAAACGAAATGTAAATATCTTCGATTTTGGCGAGGTAAAGATGTATTACGCTTGTAACAATGCGAATAAAACTTCCATGTACAACGTCATCGTCATGTGGCTGAATCGGTTATTAAAGCTTTTCAATATGTGAATGGTCCTTTCGATGAAAACCGTCACGTCTAATCCTTGCACGGTATTCACCCTTAACACGTACATCACCTGCGTAAAGACGATACAAAATTAACGAAAACCGACGGCATTTTTTAAGCGACCTACTTGCAACAAATACCCGTGCGCTTGGTTATCGTTAATTCCTTCGTTCGATAACGTCCCGAAGAGACCGTCCAAATGTCCAAGAACCTGCTCGCTCCTGATAAAGGATACGGAAGCCCTGGCGGCCAATTCCCTCGTCCTGAACGCAGGATTCGACAGGCACGTAGTCAAATGCGGTATGTACTCGTCCATCTGCAAACACGAAAAAAATAACGGTTATTTTGTAACAGTCGTTCCAGCACCTCTATACCGAAAAATTCGATTCCCGCACCTCTATTAAACGTCTGTCATACGAAACGTCATTAATGTCAATTTCGTTCAATTTTGACATTAACGTATCATCGAACGCATCTTAAACTCCCACCGTACAATACGTCATAAAATAACAAAAAAAACTGCGAACGTACTTGTTTGTTGTATTCCTCGAAGTGCGACGGATACAGCCTAGCCAGTATCATCAGAACGGGATGCAAGAGCAGGCTCGTCCGATCGCCGCAATCCTCTCGCAATGTCTCCAACAGGAAGCGAAACAGCTCGGGATAGCGCACGAAGAACACGCGCACCGTCAGCCGGTTCTTCATGCACAAATCGTCCGAGTCCTGCGTCCTTTGGACGCCGAACATGCGCGTCATCAGCGCCGCGTACAGCAACGTGGCGCTATTGCGGACCTGCAATTCAACGCTTCGAAATTAGACAATCCACTATTCGAATTATAAACTATACGCTTTCGAACTGGCCAAGATCGATTTGAAACTAACCGAGACGCTTTAGAATACATTAGAACTATTCGGGATAATTTAGAAATCTTTAGAACTGTCTACGACAATTTACAAAGCGTTAGAAGTATTCAGGACTCTTTCGAACTGTTCAGGATACTTCAGAACTATCTAGGATACTTCTGAACGAATTGGAACTATTCAGAGCTCTTTTTAAAACTATCTAGGATACTTTAGAACGAATTAGAGCTGTTCAGTACTCTTTTAAAAACTGTCCTGGATACTTTAGAACTATCTATAATACTTTAGAACGAATTAGAGCTGTTCAGGACTCTTTTAAAAACTGTCCTGGATACTTTAAAACTATCTAGAATACTTTTGAACGAATTAGAGCTTATTAGGACTCTTTTAAAAACTGTTCTGGATACTTTAAAACTATCTAGAATACTTTAGAACGAATTAGAGCTGTTCAGGACTCTTTTAAAAACTGTTCTGGATACTTTAGAACTATCTAGGATACTTTTGAACGAATTAGAGCTGTTCAGGACTCTTTTAAAAACTGTTCTGGATACTTTAGAACTATCTATAATACTTTAGAACGAATTAGAGCTGTTCAGGACTCTTTTAAAAACTGTCCTGGATACTTTAGAACTATCTAGAATACTTTTGAACGAATTAGAGCTGTTCAGGACTCTTTTAAAAACTGTCCTGGATACTTTAAAACTATCTAGAATACTTTTGAACGAATTAGAGCTGTTCAGGACTCTTTTAAAAACTGTTCTGGATACTTTAAAACTATCTAGAATACTTTTGAACGAATTAGAGCTGTTCAGAACTCTTTTAAAAACTGTCCTGGATACTTTAGAACGAATTAGAACTATTCAGGACTCTTTTAAAAACTGTTCTGGATACTTTAGAACTATGTAGGATACTTTAGAACGAATTAGAACTATTCTGGGCTCTTTAGAACTGCCCAGGACAACTGAGAACCGTCCAGCATACTCTAGAACGCACCGGGACTATTCCAGGCCTCTTTAGAACTGTCCAGGACAATTCCAGGAACGCTTTAGAATCGATTTCATTGCAAACTTACACCCCAAGCGTCGCTCTTGAAACCCGTTACAGCTATGATTACCGCCTGGGCCACGTACGACGCGACGAATTCGCCTAATCTACTGTGCCTGAACATCGCCCTTAACACGTTCATGCAATGCATCCTGCATTCGTCGTTGCTCGAATCCAAATTTTCGCAGGTCTTAAACAACGTCGTTATGGCGTCGTGGAAGCGACGTTTGTCGAATACCGGCTCGGAACTCAGGATACCCTGTATATATACGATTTAGAGTTTATTTATTATAGCGGGTTTAGCGGTCGTATTACTACGAGGTCTGGAAACTGGAGTTGTTCGAAGCGAAAGTGGTTAGTAGTAAAAACGACCGGTAGGAGACGAAATTCGTCCAGTTTCCGGACCTTATAATGTATACGACCGTCGGTGGCTACTTGCCAATATCAGAAAGGGCAGGCCGGCGCTTCTTCTAGTCGGGCACAATTGCTCCGAACGCGTTTCTCCTATGCACAACCGCAGCGCGTCGTCGAGCCACATTTCCGGCAAACGGTTCAAAATCGGATTCGACGATCTTAAAAAAACACAAAACAAACAGTTACAACGTTGCCAATCTTGACAATTCGAGCTTTGACGTGTTAACTGTCAATAGTGTCAAATCGGACGGGAAGTTTCGCGACGTTGCCAAGTTGTTAGCCAACACCGACGCGACTTTTATCGCAAAATCAAAGCAAAACTTACACCCAAAACGATCGACAAATCACGGAGAAGGCGACGTAGGCCTGCTCGAAGACGCCGCGGTGCTTCGACGCCACGAATATATCGACGAAGAACGCGCCGACGTCGATCAACAGCTTGTCGCTTGTCATCCGCAAGGGCGTCGTTCGCTCCAATTTCACCGTCTGCCTGACGATCTCGCCCAACAGCTGCGTCATCTCTTTCATCGTTCGCCACGCGTGGACGACGATCAGCTGCGCCTTGGCCGAGCCGTCGCCGTCGCGACGACCGGCTCGATCGGCGTCGGGCAGGAATCCTTCGGGCGACGGATCGCACACGATCGGCATGATGCGCTCCTTCATGTTCAAACAAACGGTGACGAGGTGCTCGAACAGACCCGACCACGATTCGCCGTTGACGCTGCGAACAGAAGAGAGAGAATAAATCAGCTGTCAAATTTTTTGACACGTCGCTCGGAAAGTGGCGCCGTCTAGGAGCGAAGGCAAAGACTCGTCGCGCAGGATAGGACGCTTTAGAACTGGCCTGGACTATTTAGAACGCTATATAACTATCCGGGATACTTTAGAATGTATTTGAACTGTTCAGGATTCTTTATAGAACTGTCCAGCACAATTTAGAACGCTCTAAAATTCTCCAGGATAGTCTAGAACGCTTTAAATCGCTTCAAAATTGTTCAGGGTTCTATAGAACTCATTAGAAACTATTCATGACTATTTTTTAGAACCGTTCAATGTACTTTAGAGCTATACAGGACACTTTAGAAAGCATTCGAACTGTTCAGGATTCTTTATAGAACTGTCCAGCACAATTTAGAACGCTCTATAACTCTCAAGAATAGTCTAGAACACTCTAGAACCCTTCAGGATAGTGTAGAACGCTTTAAATCGCTTCAAAATTGTTCAGGATATTATAGAACTCATTAGAAACTATTCATGACTATTTTTTAGAACTGTCCAGTGTAGTTTAGAACTATCCTAGATACTTTAGAACGCATTCGAACTGTTCAGAATTCTTTAGAACTGTCCGGGACAATCAAGAACGCTTTAGATCTGTCCAAGGAAATCTAGAACGCTATAGAATTGTCCAGGATCATTTAGGAAGCTTTAGAACGATCTAGGGTAACGCAGAACGCTTTAGAATTGTCCAGGATAATCAAGCAAGCTCTACGACTGTCCAGGGCAATTTAGAAAGCTTTAGAACTGCGCAAGGTCAAACGAATAGGTAACGTGAACGCGAACAACCTCATGTCTCTGCCCTGCAAGAGGTACCGGATGCTCTGCAACAGTCCGAAATTGGCCACGTCGGGATTGTAGACGTCGACGGCTAGGTTCGTTTGGGACACCAATTTCCCGGTCAATATGACGAGCATGTTCAACGTGGAATCGCGGAAACGGTTCGCGTTCGAATCGTCCTCGTTCAAACCGTAGACGGACATCTCGTAGAAATAGGGGGAATTGGCGCACACCCGCAACACGTACGCCGCCGATAGGGTCTTGCTCGGCTTCACCGACATCGCTATGTTCAGGCATTGTTGCATGTATTTGAACGTGAATTCGATGTTCTACAAAATAAAAATACGAAATTAGTTTTAAGATGCGTTCGATGGTATATTAACGTCGAAATTCATACTACTTCGTTCGAGACATCAATTAAAAAGGCCACATTAGCCACACATAGGCCACAATTCTTTCATATTGCAATTTAAAATGGTTTATCCGTTGAAAATAAAATTTAAATTGAACAAAATTGACACTGATGACATTTCGAATGACAGAAATTTAATAGAGGTGAGAAACGATTTGTCGGTATAGAGGTGCTGGAACGACCGTTACAAAATAACCGTTATTTTTATTTTACTATTCAATGCCATATTTTACTATACAATGCCATAAAAATTACATTTACGTTCCTATTGCCAACATCTATCGGCTAATATCTTAGTATTTCGAGCTTACGTTAAATCCTATAGCGCTGGTGGGCAAGCGGTCGAGCAAGGCGGCCGCCATTTTCTTGTTCTCCTCGTAGTTATCGAACAAGATGCTGTGGCAATTCTTCACGTCGTTCTCCGACCAAAGGTCGAGCCAATCGTCGACGGCGTCCGATTCGCGAACGACCAACAACAGCTCGAGGCTGATGAAGCGTCGGTAGTGGTTCGAATCGAACGTCAAATTCGATATCAGGAACTCGGCGAAACGTTTCACGAAGCACTTGTAAGCCTTCTGGAGTTCCTCGTAAATGAATCGTTCGTCGGCGCGCGATTCTTTCACGGCGATCGACAGGTTCCTTTGGATGGCGCGAAAGCCGGCGTTGAACCTGCGCAAAGATCGGATATTTATCGAGAGAATATACGAAACTAATCGATCGGTTACCTCGATAGAGCCTTCGCGTAGTACCCGGACATTTGCATGCGATAGCACGGCGACTGCGTCGAAACGTTGTACCTAAGGTATTTCAATAAAAAATTCAATTCCCAATCGAGGAACAACTCGGTGGATTTCTGGCATTCCGCCAACACCGCCAGTACGGTGATTCTCACGACGTCGTCCTGATAGAACATGAAATTCTCCAATTTCCCCTTTTCTATCCATCCTCTCCAATACGAATCCGATTTCTCGCCGTCTTCCACCGACAATTCCGTGCCGTTGGTGCGCGCGTGTTGGAGACACTTCAACAACACCCGGCATTCGTGCACGCTCCCGGTACATTCGCTGGTAAATCTGGAAATACAAAATTATATAGCGTTCGTTTAGATTCATCGAATCCGCTTACATTTTCCTGAGAACGGCCGGATAGATCCGAAACGCCCTGGTTATTATCTCCTGACACGAGGCGGCGCTGCGCGCGCATTTCGCCGACAATCTAGTCACCGGCGATATCCAGACGTTCAACCAGGCCTCTTTGTCGACGTTCTGTTGGTGTTTCTCCATCAAAGCCATGTAGCATTTGCACGCCTGCGTACAATTTCGGTTAGTCGTGCATTTGTGCTCTATTTAAAAACTAGCAGGAGCATATCGAGAAGCTTTACAACTTGAACTCGACTCGTAATTAACCGATAAACCAACGCGAGTGTTGCCAACTTAAATTCAAAGCGCTCCTACTAGTTCTTAAACGGAGTATAGATTCAGTTTAACAGATATATCACAGGCTGTTCTCGTACCTCTTCGGATACGCCCGGCATCGAAACCACTTTGAGCAAATCCTCCGGCAGGCTTTCGCAGCGCTCTAAAAGATACGAGCAACCGATGTGCTCGGAAATGTACTCGAGAGCCAACAGTTTCGATTTGTGCTTGCAACTCAACATCTCGATCTTCCCCATAACGATCTCGCAGAGCGAATTGTGACCTGAAATCGTCCGATAAAAAAAAAGCTACATCGTTCGAGAGATGTTACCGTTAGCTTTGTGATGTCCGGCGATGACGATTAGCTCGATGAAAAACTGCTTCGTGTAACTCCTCACGGTGTCGATGAAATGCTCGATGTGCGACCAAACGAACGAGATGCCTCTAACGAACAATTTCTCCATCGAATCCAACGGAGCGTCTTTCATCTGCTTGCAGAGGATGCTCAACGTCCGGCTGATTTCCACGATGACATGCGCGACGCTCGTCATCCTGAAAACCGAACGGATTCCAACGAATTTTATCGAGCTTTAAGGGGCGATTGAATACTTCTCGGCCAGCTCCATCAGGCCCGCGTAGAGGATGCACAGGAGGTTTTCGTGGCCGACGCGGATGCGGCATAGCTTCTCTTTGGGCACCACGTTCAATATGGAGGCGTACACGATGACGATTTCGTCGGGTTCGGTGAACGGGTCCAATTGGAAGTCGAGCACGCCGAAGGTGCCTCCGTTGTATTCTTCGAGCAGCTCCAGCGACGGGCAATCCTTGAATTTCTACCAAATTAATCGGTTTGTATTACTCGGGAGTGATGGTATGAAAGAGTTTCTTACGAAATAGTGGATATACTTTTCCGGCATTACGGCGAAGGAATGGGTCAGGACGAGTCCGGCTTTCGTTTTCGAATCGAACCCGATCGACTCGTGTTGGATCAGGCCGTAAGACAGCAAAATTAGATTTAAACTGTACTCTTCCGATACAATCGTATTATACGGGATATCTTTCACGAAAACCGTTAAAATCTGCTTTAAAACAACATTTAACAAAGCGAATATTTCTTCGATGACTGGCTTTAGTTGTTCGAAATTCCATCTGAAATTTATCCATTAGTTAAAATAATTAACAAGCAAATAATGTTGTAATTTACCTAGAATGGGACACGATACCTCGATAGATAACGTAGTATAAAGGAAATAGGTGTTGCACGAGCGATTCGTAATTGAATTTCGATGAATTCTGCGTGTAAGTTACAAAATTCAATAAATCAACGGCTGCTTTAATATCGACTGTTAAATTGTCTTTGGTCTCATCCAGAATTTCCCGGGATTTGATTTCTACTAAAGGATTTATCAAGTCGTTTTTGGCCACGACGTCTGTCAGGTATTTCCTCACAACTCTCTTCGAATTGAATCTGGTGAAGAATTCTAATAAACTATTCCTCGCTTCGACGTTCTCTCGACTATCCCTTGGGCTGTTCAAGTAAATGTCCACCTGAAATAAACGAGTATTAATCGCTAGAATAATTGTTCGGTTGTTTTTTTACTCACCGTGTCCTTTACGAGTTTTTTCTGGTCGATTTCTTTGGTGGTTTCCTCCAATTCCGACAGGATCTTCTTCAAATTCGAGCCTTCCTGGATTCCCAACGGCCGGTTCACGAAAACCAAATCGGGCCCGAATAGATCCTCTTCGCTCGACGATGACATTTTTCGAAGGAATACCGGAAATTTTCACTTTGCGAAATTGAAAAGCTAAAAATCATTTCCACGCGGTCTCATGCTGTTGCATTGGTGAAGAAAAAACGTGAAAAAAGAAGCGGTAAACGTCAAAAATTTGAAGGTTAATGTGTGATACGCCTACCGGGCGATCGAACTACTTCGAGTACCTAGTAGATTGTTTGTACCACAATTAATTCTTCTTCTCTTGCTACAAGGTCTCTTTTGAAACGCCGCATCCGGTCAGGTAATAAATTTTAACCACAAATTAATTGATTGATTATTTAATTAAAAAAAATGATTAGTCCTTTTTCTTTCTGGTTTACTAGTTTCAAGCCTCGACGACTAAAGGTTAACCGGTTGAATAAACTATTAGTGATTGTGATTGGTAGGTGTGATTTATTGACATATGTTTATGTTAGTTGGCAGCGCTGCATTTTGACAATTAAAAATCAAAATTACACTGACGAAGCTATAAAAATATACATGGATAATATTTCATAATGTCGAAAAGCAAAGCTATAGTAAGTCCGTTTACAATAATTCACCGTAAAACCAATTCCCAAAAGCACACGCACCAAACGATTCCGACACCAATGCACATAACCTCAAACTAATATTTTCCCTTTGAACAAATTCCAGTTGTTGAGGGTACAATCTCCGGAAGGCACCAAGCGCGTAGAAGTCACCCCATCTTCCACGACCTGCCAGCTGTTCGAGGCCGTGCACGACACCTTCAACCTCAACAGCTTCGCGTTCGCCTTGTACAAAGAGAAAAACAAGAAGGATGAAATCGCCAGCAGCAAATCGAAGACTATACTCAATTCGGGCCTGCGACACGGCGACATGATATATCTGGCGCCCGTCAACGGAGCCGCTCTATTCGTAAGTGCTCCATCTGTTTTACTCCATTACATTCCTCGGCTACTTTCTAATACGATCTTTCGTAGAGCAACAATTCACCGGCCGGTGAACCAGCCGATGAATGTTTACCTTCGACTAGTAACAACGCTCCTTCGAGGCCTACGAGCAAATCCAGCGCCGGCTCAACCAACAAAGAAGACGAAGTCGATGTACAGTTGATGAAAATCGATGGGAAAGTGGAAAGGCAAAAAGACGATAAACTGTACGTTGGTAGCAATAATTACACTGTGTTACTCCTCTAAATCATTTACATGGCTTCAGGATGAATTAGAATTGTTGAAAACCTTTTAGAACTGTCTAGAATGATTTATAACAGTCCAGGACTAGTCTACAACAATTTGGAACAGACCAAAAACCTTTAAGATTGCTTCAGAACGAATCAGAATTGTCGAGAATCTTTCAGAACTGTCTAGAATGATTTACAACAGTCCAGCACTAATGAGAACTATCTAGAACAATTTAGAACTGTCCAAAAACCTTTAATTTGTTTCAGAGCGAATCAGTCGAGAACCATTTAGAACTATCTTAGAATGATTTGGAACTGTAGAGACTGATTTATAACTGTCTATAATGATTCATAATACTTTTGAACGAATTAGAACTGATTGGAATCATTTAGATTGCTTTAGGATGAATCAGAATTGTCGAGAACTGGTATTAGACAGTTAAGAATGTTTCTGGAGCGTTCTAAATAGTTTTTGAACAGTTCTAAATGGATTTTAAACAGTTCTAAATGATTGTGGAGCGTTCAAAATGGTTTTAGAGAGTTCCAAATGTTTCTGGAGCCCTTTAAATAGTTCTAGACAGCTCTAAATGAATCTGGAGTATCCTAAATGGTTCTGAAGCGTTCTAAATGGATTCTAGACAATTCTAAATGATTCTGGAGCAATCTAAGTGGTTCTGAAACGTTATAGATGGATTCTAGACAATTCTAAATGATTCTGGAGCAATCTAAATGGTTCTGAAGCGTTATAGATGGTTCTAAATAGTTTTAGAGACTCTTGTATTCCGAAGATTTATTAAATTAGCCTGCGCATTTCAGTTGTCGGCACAACAGCAATTCGAGATGCGTCCATTGCTCGTCGCTGGAGCCCTACGACGAGGCCTATCTGAAAGAGCACAACATCAAGCACCTGTCGTTTCACTCGTACTTGCGCAAAATGATGTCGGGCGTCGATCGCGGCAAATTCCTGTCGCTCGAGGACATATCCTGTCGCATCAAAGACGGCTGCAAGGACCATCCGCCGTGGCCTAAAGGCATTTGCTCCAAATGCCAACCGAACGCCATTACTCTCAATATGCAAGTGAGTATTTTTTTTTTGTCGTTTTTTAACTCGATCGCGGGGACGTGCTGTATAAATTTATTTACGTTGTTTTACAGGCATACAGGCACGTCGATAACGTGACGTTCGAGAATACGAATTTGGTCGAACGGTTCCTGAATTATTGGAGAGTTACAGGCCATCAGAGAATCGGGTTCTTGTACGGTACTTACGAAATCCATCCCGACGTACCGTTAGGTAATTCACAATTATATCTATCTTTAAAAAAAAAAACGCTTACTAAATACGTCTTTGCGTATCGATAAGAGCGCTACAAGCGGCGGGATTTGTAACTAGATTGTATCTATGTGTCAAGACATTATCAAAAAACTTTAAGGGAATTCAGTAAATAGTAAAAAATGTATGTACTAATAAGAATGATTATTTCGTAATATTATTTTATAAATTTGTTGCGTTACTCCATATTGTAAAAACTGTCAATTTGAAAGATTGCGTCCTTAGTTACTCCATAACAACAATGTAAGTCTGTCAATTTGAGAGATTCTCCTTAGTTACTCCATAACAACCAATGTAAAACTGTCAATTTATCTAGTCTATTTATCCTAAGCGCCGGTAGGGTGGTAAATAATGTTAGTTTCTTTGACAACTTTTGACATTTGATAAGTTGCAATAATCCCAGCCGGTTTTACGCAAATACGATGACGTCCTCTTTCTATTTCTCGTACCTTTTTTTTTAAATACAACCAGGAGTTCCATTTTGGTGACATGAAAAGTCGCAAACGTCAGTCTGGCGCGAAAATTTAAATTGTATAGTTCATGTAAACGATAAAAGACCAATATCTTTCTCTTCGTTTATAAATAAAAGTCAAATAACACACAACGCACATTTAAAAGCAATTATAAATGTTCAAAACACAACTTTAGGAACCATTTTTGAATTCAAATTCATTAAAAAAGGTTAGCCAACAGTTCTAATGTGACACTTTTTGTCACAACTTTTGACACTTTTTGTCACAACTTTTGATACTTTTTGTCACAACTTTTGACACTTTTTGTCACAACTTTTGACACTTTCGTCACTGTTTGTAGTGTTTGTTGCCAACCTAATTCGACTTCTGCGTTCCCCCTTACCTCAGTCACCCTCTCCTCTAAAATCCGACCTAACACCGCCACCCCCTTATTAAATTATCCTGAATAACAACAACGTTTTTATGCATATTGATAGGTATCAAAGCCAACGTGGTGGCGATCTACGAACCGCCGCAGGAGAGCGGCCAGAACCAGGTCCGTTTGGCGCCCGATCCGCGCGAAGAACTGGTCGAATTCATCGCGAATTCGTTGGGTTTGCGCCGCGTCGGTTGGATATTCACCGATTTGCTGGCCGACGACGTGCAAAAGGGCACCGTCAAATTCATCAGGAACATCGACAACCATCTGTTGTCGGCGCAGGAGTGCATCATGGCGGGGCACTTTCAGAATTTGTACCCGAATTACAGCCGGTACGCCTCCAAAGGGATATTCGGATCGAAATTCGTCACCGTTTGCGTCACAGGTAACACGATATTCAGTCGTTTTTTTGAATTACAACTGAGATATCGAAACGTTTTATTGGTACATGAAACACTTCAGGGTATTCTTAAATGGGAAAACATAGGTTCAGTAATTCCAGTACGATTCAAATTTGGCTTCATCAATTGACTTGGATCTTTCTTATACCTAATATAGACACTCCGAGCAATGATATCTACTATTTTTAATCTCTACTACTTCATTACATATTTAAGAAAATTGCAATCAAAAACTGCTCATTACACGGGCTACTTTTCACTGGGTCGCCCTGGTGGGTGTGAATTTGTAAACAATTTGGTGTCTCATCGTTAGTTGTAATTTTTTCCATTTATTTTTTATTTATTTATTGTATCGTTAATCGATGGGTTTGTTTTTGGCAAGGTGACAAAACGAATCAAGTGCACATGGAGGGTTACCAAGTGTCCAATCAATGTATGGCTCTAGTTAGAGATAATTGTCTGTTGCCTACGAAGGATTGCTCGGAGTTGGGATATGTACGGGAATCCACCGATAAGCAGTACGTTCCTGACGTTTATTATAAGGTAAGTCGATTTATTTTTTTAAATTTATATTAACGGTCGTATACATTAAGGTCCGGGAACTCCGGGGTGTTGCGGATGATGTGACTCTCGACAGAGGGCGCTAGTATCGTTTATTCGTTTAATTGGCCTTCTAAATTATTTGTTTGACAATGTAAAACTGTCACTTTGAAGGAATATTCGTAGTTACTCGATAACAACCAAGTTTCCAGACCTGAATGTATACGACCGTGGTTAATACTCGCTTTGGTTGGCCGAATGATCGCGACGGTAAAGGCTATAGGGGGAAATTAAAAAGCGAACGTCGTAGATGCGGAAAGTTATTTATTTTTGAAATCTAACGTGAGGTGGTAGGTACTCAGTTATCACAAATATTGTATCGGGTAACAAGGCACAAAACACTGGCTGCTACATTGAGTTTCGCAATAAAGGGGTTTTGTTTGTTATATATATTTTTTTTAAACCAGTTATGACCACGCTAATAGATGTGTTTTTTTTTTTATGGAAAAATCTACCGTGGTCATTTCTGTTCACATAAAGCGAGAATAAGAGACGTGTAGATACAGTGGAGTATGTTGAAATTTCATTTTAAATTTCGCTCGTACAATTAGTAAATATTTACCGGGTGTTAGGGGAAACGTTTGTTGATATAAAGGTACATTTTCGAAGTCCCTATCACCCCGTAGGTTCACTCCAAAGTACTCGAGATCTCGGTTTAAATAAATCAAAAAAAGAAAATGATCTTGACACACACGTAGGTACTACTTATTAACGATATACACAAGTTTACAACGATATATTTTATTTTAATTCTAAACTCTACGATTTGTCTGCACAATTATTTTATAGACAATGAGACAATTCTATATATTTACGAACGAACTGACAAGACTTTATCGGTAAATAGTTTAAATAATATGTGAATTTTTTTTTGTATGCAATTATAAAATAGGCCGAAATTCACACGTTATTTATCGGTAATAAAAAATAAACTCGTGTATGATGGTCGAATTATTGTATTTTGTTTGTTTCTTCAAATTATTGTCAATATTGAATAACCTTCACAAAATAAGACTTAATTATTTTGATTCAAAGTCTGTCAGGACGAAGAATAAAAACGAATTTTCATTCGTTCGGAGTTATTTTATTTTTTCGAAGAGATAGTTTATTTTTACCTAAAATACATCCATTGACAAATATTCGTTTATTTCGATAAAATACGTACAAGCTTTCCGAAATTCAGGTCGTTTTGTGCTTTATAAACATTTAAACCCTGAGACAATTAGCTAATTTCTCTTATACCAACGCGCAAGTGGAAAAATATAACAAACAAAAACGAATGGTCCTTCGTCGATTAGACAAAACTAGATACAAACTGAAATTTTCTAAACCTAAACGGGAATAATCAAGATGAGGCTAAACGTCCGATAGAAGTCAACATCAAAAATAAATTTTATCACGATTCGACAAAGATATTATAGAATATATATATACGTTTATATAATATGTAAACTTTAACGCATTATCATTACATCGATTTACATTCAAGTGGAGATTACTTGTAAAGAATTTCGCTTTAGGCTGACATTTAGGCTACATTAAATATTGTTTCAACTTATGTACATACAAATTTCATCGGATAAACGCTAATATTTCGGGTCGATTTTCAACGTTCTTATCAAAATATAGTTTTTTATGTTAGAGAAAAATCTAGTTAATCATTCCTTCGGTGTTTCCTACTTTTTTTTTGTTGATTCCCTCCATATTTACTAGGGTATTAAAGAAGTAGGAAGTGCTAAGGAATGATCGACTTGAGTAAATATTGGAAGAATCCATACGAAAGATTCGCTTAACTTATCCAAACAAATACAAAATAGTAAATAGTAAGGAAAAAAAATACACAATTTGGACAAATTTTTAGTTTAGATTACTTTTCAATAATAGTAAGGCACAAAGAAATAATTCAACCGGAAATTTAAAATGATATGCTCGTTTAGTTACGGATTTCGTATTCACAATTTCACAATCTACCGAGTGTTAATCCGCCCCGAAAGACAGTTAGTAAAAGTAAAAATAAATACCGATAAAAATAAATCTTTTATTTCTTTTCGCTAACATTTATAAATGCTATGTATAATAATTCTTTGTATGTGTCTGTGGGTTTCTCGCGTTTTTCCATTTTTTTTAAGAGATATTTCTACCCGATTGACAAATTACAAAACTCGCGAACTTTTAATAAAGTTTAAACAATCAACCGCACTTAAAAACTAAATATTTAAACGTATCAAATCCTTTGAGGATCTTTTCCGATAGCGATCATTCCATTGAAAACCAACTTTGATCGATTAATAACTTAACAAAATAGGCGTTGAAATGTCCATTAATCGATAGAAAAATACGCCATTTTTTATGTAAAAAATAACTCTCAATAGGCGATTAATTATCTACAAAACTTAGAATTTATAGAGTTAGAGCATTAAATTGTTGCAACAAACGCTCTTTATTCGTAAGAAAAATAAAAAAAAAACGTAGCAATTCACGCGATTGATTTTGCCTGGAATGATACGATATATTAAAAAAAAAACAACTTTGGTTACAATTTCTTACAACGGAAGCAAAACATTGCATTTACATACTAAAAATTCGATTCTATTTACGCATTTATTTATTCTTTTTTTAATCTGAAACATTAAAAATAGGTACATAACGATAAATTTTTGCTTCGAGTGTAAGATTCGATTAGAAACGGGAAAATGCCTGCATTTTCCGCGCCGATATTCCGGTGCAATTGACGCTCTTGCACGCAAAATAAGGTACAAATTGATTACGAATTAAACGGAAACTTGTTATACGTATAAAAGGAAAAGGAAATTCGAAAAAGTAGAAAACGAAAAAAAAAAAACAATTAATTAATAGAAGCGACAATTGATGGTCAAATTTTGATTTTTAAACTCTATTAATCTTTAACATTTTCTTAACACTCTTCCAAAACAAACATAACAAATTACACTTACAAGCTAATTTTCCATAAGCTATAGAAATCGACAACAATAAAAAATATCTACTCTAATTTGCTTTTTACGATATTTACGAAAATATAGTTCATTTCGGAATTCGATAGTACTTTTCATATTTCTTTTTTTTTTTTTTAATTTTTTGTTTAAGCTAATGACGGTATATTTCTCATTTTCAATAATATAAATTCTATGCAGTTTGACTGAAGCTACACATTAAAAAACATCTATTAAAATTACCTCTCAGATATCGAATTTATACATAAATAACTCCTCTGTTTTTGTACAATATATTTTCTCTCTTTTTTTTTTCTGCAATATACTCGTTTAACTTGTAATTCGTTCGGAAAGAAATTAGAGATATGTCGTTTTTTATACGCAAAAAAAAATAATTAGGAACCGAATTATTTCATCAAATTAATAATAAACGCGCATCAATTAAAAATTCGATACGTACTTAGAAAAATAAAAAAAAAAACTAAAGTCACTAGATAGGTCACAATTGGTAACATTTCTGATTTTTGTCTATACTCTATTCAAAAACTAGGCAGACTTCAATTTTACTTAAACGAAAGAGGTGCATTTAAATTTGCAACCTTACAAATTTTCTAGTAACTTTTTTTAAATAGAGTATAGCATTCATTCGTTTCATTACAACGAAATATGCTCGGATTACAACAAATTATAGCGAAATTTGTTCGATAAAACAACAACTAACAAATCAGAAACGAACCGATTTTATGTACCGAAAAAACTACACAAATCCCGTACAATCGCAACGGTTAAATCGAAGCAAGCGTGGTGGCCTCGACACGTCAAAGCTATCCAGCGACTTTAGCTCGAAAAACGAAAAAAAAATAATATAATATATATATAAAACGAAATGAAACGTAAACGTATATTACAATTTACCGCATTTAGCGATCGAAATATTCTTGGTCGGCTTACCGGCCGTATCGCCGTACGTGCTGATCTTCTCCACCAGTTCCAAACCTTCGACCACGTGCCCGAAGATCCCCGTAAAGCCGCGCATCTCCTGCAATATGATGCGAAACTGCGACCCGACCATCCCCAAATTATCGTGCCGTTTCTGCGTCCTGCGCATGCCCACCGTCCCCCTCACCGCCATCAATTTCGTATCGTCCGGCAGGAAATACGATTCCTCGAACACCGACCGTCCGCCCCTGCCGTTGTTCGATTCGAAGTCGCCCGTGATGACGCTCTCGCCCTCCCAGCACTGGAAGATCTGGCAACCTTTGTACCCCACGCCGGCTTCACCGGTGGTTAACAGAGCGAAGTTTTTCGCCATTTTGGGCGCCACGTCGGCGCGTACTTCTATCACGATGCGACCCAATTGGGCGCCGTTCACGTCGATGTTGAAGTAGTACAACGGGCACATGTTGGGCGGGTTGCGCATCGACGGTGAAGGCACCACGATGTTGTTCTCTTGGTAGATGTTTTTAGGTGTGGCGATTACTAGGTGTTGTTGTTGTGGAGTAGGAGCGTTGTTGTGCGGTAGATAGTTGATCGAATTGTGGTTCTGGTAGTCCGATGTGGATCCGTTTACGGTCGGTTTGGACAACATATGACGCGAGTACAATTGCGACATGCAATAGTTGGCGAGGAATAATATGGGGTTCTGTTGCGATGATGGTACGATGCGCGAGTTACCGGCCGTATACACCGGTTCACCGTTGTGTATATTCCCCAATGCTTGTTTTAATAGATGGAAATCGAAGGCTACGCTCGAATTGCGGATCAAATCGTCGAGCTGGCATTGCAGGTACATCTCCTGGTAGCGCATCTGCAACCGGCGCTTCTCGACGTTGACGCCGGCGCAGAGATTGTGCACGTCCGATAGGCTTTCGGCCATCGACAGATTCGCCCGGAGCTTGGCGAGCGCGTCACGAGCATCGGTCAATTCGAAATGGGTGGCGTTATTGGTCAATTCGGCCTCGACGTACGTCTTCAACGTGACGCACGCCTCTAAGATCTTGAGCAGGAATTCGCGCTGTTGCACGACCAACCGTTGGATCTCCGACAGCATTTTGTTCATCGATGATAGATCGATTTGGAGCTCGGCGATCAATTGGTCTTTGGCGTCCGAGTGGGATTTGACCTGGTGGGCGAGGTGATCGTTGGTGGTGGCGCATGCGCGGCACACCGGCACGCCGCACGTGTGACACCACAGGGCTAGTGGCATGGCGTGCGTGTGGCAATTCTCCGATACCATCACCTTGGCTGGTGGATGGGAGACCGCTGGTGGTGGTGGTGGTTTGTCGGGCGGCGGAGGCTTCGGGCCGAGTTTCAGTTGGGAGAAGTTCTTGGCGAGGCACAGGACCGGGTTGTAGGTGGGTAGGGAATCGGGGCCCATGTCGCCGCAGTCGGTTTTCTTCCAGCAGTAGACGCAGTAGAGTTCCTGGCCTTTGGCGAGATTCGTGCGCATGCATTGCAAGCAGAAGTAGTGCTTGCAGGAGAGCAGCTTCGGGCTTTGGTCGGTTTCGTTGAATTTTTGCTTGCAGTATCCGCATAACATTAGTTCTTCGAATTCTGGTGCTACGGATTCCATTTCTACAAATACATATATGCATATATTACATTGTTAATTACAATTCGAAAACTTGTTACACTACCAATTCAACGCATTTACTCGATTGTAAAAAAAATGCATGTTTGGTATCGAAGAGATTAATTTTGACTGCTAGTAGGGCATATTGCGTTGCAAATAAGCGTTTGTCAATAAAAAGGATACGATTCTACAATAATTATTTCTACAAAATGGCAAAATAAAATGTTGGCGCCAAGTTGTTTGTTTACAAAAATTAGACAATCGACAAGTGGGTTCCAGAACGGTGAGAATTTCCCTCAATCGTAATATTCCGCAAAAAAAATTAAATAATAAAACGAAAAACAATCTCATCCTTACCGTGGGTTTTTTTGTTTTGTTTGTTATTAATGTATTTTTACGATGTGTTACACAGCCTTTAAGTAAATCCGATTAAACGATACGTGTTTGGTCGTTAAAACTCGAGTGTTTCGGCAACGGGTTTTCGCGGTTTTTGTACTAAATTCAGCGTATCTACGGTACGTCAGACGATTATTTACCATTCGATTGATTATTACATAATTACATTCGTGCCGATAGGATCGGCACAAGTGCGAGAGAAAAAAATAATAACTTAAAATTATAGTGGCCGTTTTGCGATGTGCCACATCATGTTGACGACTGACATGACATTCCCGTTAAGTTTGCTATGATGGCGACGATGCGCACGTCTCGCGACCTTGGTGGGTCCCACTGCGCAGCTTTGTTCTCGTTGGAATTCGACGCGGGAAATTCGAACGGCGAATCGATAAGTACGGGCGAACGCGCGACGGGTGGAAAAAGGACGGCGAGATTCGTCGCGATTGGTCGGAGGCGTCGGCCAATGGGACGCGAACGTGGCTCTTTTTTTTATTGACGTTTCGTACGTTTCGTGTTTCGTGGTTAATGTCGCACCGGGAAATTTGAACGCAATTGCGAGCGACTCGTCTATTAAAATTAAATTTTTGTTTCGATTATAGGAAAAAGATTCGTACGGTAACGAAGTATCCCGCCTAGCTCGTCCACTGCCAGTCGAATACCTCCTGGTCGACGTCCCGGCGTCGACGCCCGTCGCGCCCCAATACACCTTCAACGTCGATCAATCGAAGCAATCGTTTCCGGTGGAGAACCGCTTCGTCGAGGGCCACATCCAGGACTTCAACGCCCTGTCCGCCTATCTCTCGCAATTCGCCTTCAACGAATTCGACGTGGCCATCAACGATTTCCATCTGTTGATCTACATATCGACGATGGATATGCTGCCGATGCGGGAATTCATCGAGCCGTTGCTCCGAGCGTTGAGGAACAAGGACAAGGAGGCGGCCGAGGAGTGGTCGAGATCAGAGCATTGGGCTACTTTGGAGCAACTTATCGCCGCCAGTTCGCCGCCACCTTCTCGGTAATGCTTTTTTTTTGTTTGCTAAATACTTAAGTACTTAAATACTAAAGACTGCGATGGAATAGTAAAATTAAAATAACGGTTATTTTGTAACGGTCGTTACCGCACCTCTATACCGACAAATCGTTTCCCATCTCTATTAAACTTCTGTCATTCGAAATGTCATTAGTGTCAATTTTGTTTAATTTATATATGTATATATGATCTAAAACTAAATACATTTTTTTTGTTGTGAAGATACTGAAATTTGTTTTGGTGTATTCCGGGTTGCATATTTGACATGAAATGGTTTTTTTTTCCAGGCCCGGAAGTGTTGCATCTGGTTCGATAACATCGTCTCCGGGCGTTTCGAGCGGACCAAAATGGACGTGCCCTTATTGTACGTTTTTGAACAACCACGACGTCCAGAATTGCGAGATGTGCAATTTGCCGAGGTCGAATCGGCCGCATTGAGGTGGAATTGTACGTTTAATGTATGTCCATTAACGGCCTTATTCACCAATGTCTGTTAATACTTGACAGTTGACAGTTGACTGATAACTTCGATCAAAATGTCGACTATTTTAGCAAGACAGTTTCTTAAAAATAACGTCAATATTAATTGACATCGATGAATGCTAAAATATAACGTTAACAGATTGATAAGAACTTCAACAGATATCGGTGAATATGGCAGTAAACAGTGGATTTATTAATTACGATTTATTTATTTTTGTTGAAGGTTCACACGTGCGGATAAGAGCGAGCCCGAAATATATAATTATATGCGATTGCAGCGATTACTTAACGCGTTTGTGAACATTGCTTTGGATTAGACGTGTGACATCGGAATATACAAAAAAAAATGGATTGATGGTATTTAGTTTAAATGTTTTTTTTTTTTGAATAATAATAAATATGGATATTTTTCTAAATTGAAATGTCGAGTTTTGTGTTAGGTTGATGGATTTCATATCGTCCTTGTACATATAATAGCTTTTGGAATTTTTAATTAAGTTTCTTTTTCGTAGACGTAAGTTCTGTTTATTTAACCTAATATGATTGGTGAATTGAATTTGAGTAGAAATAAAAACGAAGTTTCGGTTATTTTTGTGCCCATTTTCCAAACAAAACATTCGCTGTCTTACGTACAATTTATTTAATAGAAATAACTTACCAAAACTGTATTTTTTTTTTCTAATTTGAGTATAATTAAGAAATATACCTTAAATTAATTATATACATAGCACACCGTGCATAAAAAATGTACATACATCCTAAAATATCGTAACATCCGTTAGAAACCTAAACGGATTCAAATAAATTTACAATGAAATTAACGAAGCCGTGTTAAATAAACCGAAAAAAAAATAATTATAATTTTCTTTCGAAGTTGACACAATTGCAATTCAAAAGTATCTTTTGTAAAAGATACGCTATAGCGTTTTCACACTGTGCAATATATTGCAGCTATAAATTGCAATAAATTGCTGCAATATTGCATTACAGTTCAAATGCGTATGTTTACGATAATTTTTATTAACCCTTGTATAGAAACTGCTTTGCTAAATTGCTGCAATTTATTGCATCGTGTGAAAACGATCTTACAATACACATCAGCGTGTTCAGCAAGAATTCAAGTGACTAGTCGTTTTATTTTTTTTGTATTTTTATCAATCCGACGTATCGAAATCAGATCTCGTTTTTTTATTTTATTTTAACTTAAACTAATTACCTACTAATGGAGTCTGATAATTCATAAATGGAACGAAGTTATCCTTACTGAGTAGCCGATGATGCGCCAATAATTTTTATATTTTTTTTTTGTTTTCGAAAACGATTCGTCTTCGAAGCATATCACATATTTTTTTGTTCATAAAAAAAGCAACATTATAGACAAATATATAGCATTGACCTTATTTACAGCAAAAGCTACATACACAATGTAATATTTTTGCTAAAGTTTCAACTTTATCAGCCTTTTGTTATGTATTAAAACGTATAAATAATTTAAAAAAATAACACTTAATCTTTTGCCGTGACAATCTTTTTTTTTCTGATATCTAACAAATACTATTTCTATTCGCCTTGATATATTTATAATCCACATTTAATTTATATACTGATATGGTTTTTTTCAAATTTTACTCGTTTTTTTTATTATTTTTCTATATTACGAACTTAAAATTAAAATGTAATTTCTGCATTAATAAAAAGAAAAGAAATATAGAACTATCAGATATAAATATTGGTTTAAAATTTTTAAATTCGTTTTGTTTATAAAATGTATTGATCTACATTTGCTCACATTTATAATACGTCAAATATTAAAAAGTCTAACCAATTCATTAGTTCTGGTAGTACTATAAAATTATAAAATTAAGAAATAAATTTAAAGAAGCTAGAATACCATATACATTGAATTATTCACAACGCTACAAAAGGCCCATTAACAATAACCGCGGTCGTATAATAAGGTCTGGAAACTTAACATATTTTGATGAAGATGTTTTTAATAGTTTACTTTGGTCCTTTTTGGAGAAACCAACAAGTCACCAACAACAAAAACGTTCAAATTCAAAACAAACCTCCTGGCGATCGTTTTAGGAACTACTTACGCTTCAAATAACCCAGTTTCCAGACCTTTAACGGCCCCTTTTTTTTTTTTAATCGAACCGAATCGGCTATATGAAAAATTCGAACGTATACAGTATAATATCTTCGACGAGACAAACGACAAGGTGAATTAATAGAATCGAAACGCAGGTCAATTGCAACCTCTCTTTGTAGGTCAACTCCAGCGAGCGGTCGTTGGGTGTTTCTCAGTCGGAGTTCTGCGTCAGCGGCGGGTACTCTTGATCGTCGGTGAACTGAAAGGCCCCTTTCGGCGGCGATTCGGTCGCCGCCGCCATTTCCCTGAACTTCTCCGATTCTGCCGTTACAAAAAATAAATTAATTATAAATTAATTACGCACTCGATTCGGTTGTTACGAACAAAGCGGAGCGGTTAATTAAATTCCGAGTTCAATTAGCACTAATCGAACTCGGAGAAGATAATATTACTAGGTAAGCTACCAAAAAAAAGCTTTCGACCGAGTATAAAAAGTATCTTACCTGACGGTTTCGATTCGTATTTCGATTCTATTTAACCGACTCGATTAATCGTTAATACGAAATACGCGGAAGGAAATTTTATACAAGAGGTTTTTGTGTTATATAAATTAAAAAAAAAGTATTAGTTGTATTTTTATACTGACCAGTACCTGACATTTGGCCCGATGGATTGCCTTTGACGATGCCAGCGTAGCTACCTAGTATGCCTTGCACAGAACAAAGAAAATCATAATGAAGGATTTGGGTTACTGCTTTTACTTTTACTATGGGAGAGTACTCTTCGGGATGTTACAATTAATTATTAGTAGTAATTCGGAATCGATGTACAAATAAGACATTTTATACAGGCGTGTGTTTGTGTATGTGTGTAATTACAAAATTGTATAAATTTTTGGATGCTGCGTCGCAAAAATTTATACAGGATAGGAAGCGCTACATGCGATTAAAATAAAATAAACAAAATAAAAAAAAACAGGTGTTTGAGGGTTAATTAAACTCAAAATTACTGGGATATAATACGATTAGTGTTCGGCAAACGATCGGAAATGCGAGCGAAACGTGTAGCTCGCACTCGTCCGATCGAAACGCCATTTTTAATGTAGCAAGACTCTCTTTAAACGGCAAACCGTCGACAATTCAATCGAAAAAAAAAAAAAAAAATATTTACACGAAATTCAACTTACCCGAATCGATGTTTTGCGGTGAAGAACTTTTACCGCTGTCCGGTTTATCAATCGACTTTCCAGCGTTTTCGGGCGCTCCGTCCAATCGATGGTCTCTGTACAACACCAAATCGCCGCCTTCGTTCGAATCGATGTTATATACGTACAATACACCGTCTTCGGTAGCCACCAGAAGCCTCAATTGCTGCTGAATGCTACAGAAAAAACAAACGTACAAATTTAATTAATTACACGTCCTACCGATGGGTCGAGTAGACACGACCGTATCGTACAGTTGGTCGAATAGCCACGTCCGAAAAACAAACGTCATTTGTGACAGTGACAGTTGTAAAAAAAAAATTCCAACTTACGTCGCTATTGAAATGACATTCCTCAAACCGTATATGGGCAAGTGGGCCGTGGCGAAGGCCCGACCTTGCGTGAAAACATCGGTCACTTGCGTGGGAAGATACGTCGACAAATAACCCATCCAACTGCTCTCTTCTACGCTCCGTCTAGGACTAGAAAAATTGAAAAATACAAAGAAAACGTCCATAAATAAGATCGCTCGAAGATCCGACGCCATCTTGTCAACCGAACCGACTCGCGACGGCGATTGCCGAACTGTCGAGTTGACAGCCGCACCAAAATGGCGGCTACGAATAAACGAGCAAGCAGGATGAATGTATCGGTAAAAACTTTCAAACTTCTACTGTTCAAATTAAGATTTTTTTATTTATAGATAATTTTAAGCGCATTGGATTACTTGAAGAACATTTACTAATCTGTTAGTAATGAACGGCATCGTAGGTGGCGTCTTTTAGCAACCTTTAGGCAAGTAATCGAATAATCAAGCAATCAAGTATATAAGCGAGTAATCAAGTAAGTAACTAAGTAAATAAGCAAATAATAAAGCAAGTACAGTGATAAACGATTGAATTACAAAAACTTACCTGTCCTTGGGTTCTTCCAGCTTGAAAATATGTACAGTTTCGGTGTTGCTGCTGCAACTTAAGAACTGGCCGCACAAACTAAACGCCAAACAGGACATGGCCACGTACCGTTTGACGCCTCGCCTGAATTCGTACAACTTCGAAGCGTCCGTCACCGAAAACACCCTGATCACGGTGCCCTTTTCCGATGCCGTCGCTATCCGGACGCCGTTCGGGCTGAACGCCAAAGCGGCCAACGGGCTGTCGTGCGCGTGTATCATCGTTTTGGCGTGCTAAAATATTCAATAATATTAATCCGATTATAATGTACTAACCGATGTTGTGCGTTCGCAGAATGTAAACCTGTAGGTTTACATGGAATAGGTGGGATTGTATGATGCGTTCGATGATACATTAACACAAAACTTGTGAAGAATTGACATTAATGACGTTTCGTGTGATGGAAGTTTGGAACGACTGTTTTCTACTATCGAACGATAAGTATCGGAACGTGCTTTAATTCAACCGATTCGTTATGTTATATTTTAGAATATTTCGAGATGTCGAGTATAGATGTCGCCGTATAGATTTTTGGTTTACACTCACCAAATTTATAGCGTCGAATATTTGCACTTCGCCGATGGTCGACGAGCCCGGATAGGCCACGTAACAATTGTCGCTGTTGATGCTCAAAGCGCACAAACCCAACGGATTCGGCGGTGTGTCTCTGATCGTATGCAACACTTTCATATCTCTAATGTTATGGATGTACAAGCTCTCTTCGAGGCACACCACCAATCTGGCCCTGCGACATAATCGATCGAAAAGGTGGTTATAAATATTATACATACACTGTGCTTCATTCGCGATTGCAACATGGGCATTTCTATGAGTTGAACAGAGAAAGATTATTAAAATGACAGTTGTCAGTGTGACAAGTTACAATGACACAAATGTCACTCTTTCTCTTTCCTTTATAAGCGTCTAAATGAAGTTGTCTATGTTGCAATGAAAAATGGAGCAATCTGTATATAGCTGTACGATATTATAGGATACCTGTTAAGTTTCACCGCCAAGATGGTGTTCGAATAGGAGTAATTGCATATTTCGGTGCCCTTTTTGAAATGGCACACTTTCAACTTCCTGGGCGCCGCGAGGGAGACGACGGCGACGAGGCTGCTGCTGAAGAGCCTCTCCACCAAGCAGGTGTCCTCCGTGCCATTGCTGTAGATTTGCTCTAACGTATCGACGCTGCTCAGCGAGTACAAACGGTAGCCCGTCCTGCTGCCCACAGCCAATGATCTGCGAATTGAATTTTTGGATTTATCGATGAATTTTGGGAGCATTCGGTAAGACCTATAAGATCTAAATATGTTAGAGACAGTGGGCCGTATTCAGCGCCTCATTTTAACGTTAGAGTGACTCTAAAGTCGCGTCTCTAGTCCTTAGTTACTTCATTCATCTCTTTAGTTACTCCATAACATACATAGTTATGGATTAAGGTTGAGTTAAGGTGGAAAAATAGCTTCAATACTCTAGTAGTATAACACACTAAATGCAAATGTAGATCATAGATAATGGAAAATATGTCACATATTCGAAAAGAAAAAACTAGTTATCGGTTTAGTCGTGAGGAAGGAATATGCACATGTAGTAATCGAAAAATGGTACGAGATAACGAGCGAAAAATATTAAATTGATTAAAAATTTACCCAATATTTTGAAAGCGATTAGATTGTGTTGTAAACAAACGTAACAATACGAAAATTTATGTTAGTTAGAGCAGGCCTCTAGGATAATTTCGTGATAATATGTAAATAATCAGATAAAGCACACAAAATCAAGTTCACAAGATACTTTTACTTTTTATTTTTGTCCACCTTGAACTACTGTTTTCGTTGTAACATATAAATTAGTCGAAAACGAAACGATTACACAATTTTATGCAGCTGCTTACGAGCAATTTTAAACGACTGCAAAATTAACTAACCGATTAACAAAACGAATGACAACGAGTAACAAAAAAACCTTCGAGTAACACTTAATAAAAAGTGTATTATTTAAATCGTAAACAATTCCATTCGACCAGGGTCATTTGTTAGATTCGTTCCCAAAATTTCCAAATACTCCGTGTGTGTGTGTTTGTGCGAGTTCGCTGGTAAAGGTCACACAATCACCTCAAGTGTTGAAAAAAAAATATATGAAATAAAATACGCGAGGAATTCGGAAATATGTCCATCGATAAAATGACGCACCTTTTTCAAAAGCGAAAACGCAAATCAGCTGAACTTCGCGATATGTAAATAGAAACGCGTAAATCGTTAAATAATTAGAATCGAACGATCGACGATCGGTGGATTAACTTACGTGCTGTCCTGATTGAAGTTTACGAAATAATTTTTGGATCCATTTGAGTCTGAAGAACCCGTGCTATTCATGAGTCCGATAAAGGAAACCGCCGTTTTGTCTAGTAATTTCTATCGTGCCTCTGCCCCGTCTCGCATAAATTTCCACGCAACAAACTTGTTTGTGTTTGCGTGCGTTCTCAAAACAACTTTAATATTTCGCACAAAGACTGACCTTGCAGTTCTAAACACAAACAACTACCATTACCATACTGTTGTATTGAACAGCTGATGTAACAATAACGTTGCGCATGTCACAACATATTAGGACTTTAGCAAGGGTTACTCGCTTATTTATTCGCAAAACTAATTGCACCCGATCGATTGTTATTGATTTGCACTCGATATTTTATTTGTTGTTAACACGTTCTTTGCACGTAATACATTCAACATTCAACAGCGCAGTAAATAATAATAAACACTCTTATCTCGATTACGTCAAATGCTTGTTGTTGACAGACAGAATGACGTAAATGTCATTTTCTTCTTTCTACTTATGTATAAGCATGTTCCTGGTCTCGGCACACGTACGTATTGCGAGAACGTAAAGAAAAGAAGAATTTGACGTTGTTGACATTGAGATGATAGAAAAAATGGTGGTTCAAATTTTTGAAATTAATCCCTCTTTAAAAGTTTATTATTTACTAATTGTAGTAATTCTTTGTATGTGAATTTATTTTGGACTGTTAACAATACGCCAATAAGTCAATTAATCATAACGTTGGTCACTAGCAAAGTAACCAGGTAAGTACGAAGAAAAGGGCCAGTTTTTTTGTGACGAGGAATTTTTAATTGAATTCATAAAATTTTACAATTAATAATAGTTTTTATGATTGCTGTATAATAAAAATGTAGTTATTATAGATTTAACATTATGTTGTATGCTTTTCGCAACAATCTTTACAGTTTGTAGACAAATCGAAGCAATTTTATCAAACAAGCAATTCACATTTACGCTTTATTTTAACATAACGCAACAATAGTACACATTATTAGGAAAAAAAAACATTACTTTTTTGCCTACTAAATACTAGAATTTGAAACCCGACTACTCCACATCTAAACAGGGATATCTAAAACAAAATAGTACAAATTATGACAAATCCTCAACTCTAACTAAGCTATATCAACTTACTGTTCCTAACTTTACATTGCTGTATAGCCTCGTTGAATCCTTGGCACAGCGACAAATCCGATTGGGTGGAAGCGCATTGCAAGAACTGCTGAATCTCCCATCCGCAGGGTCCGTTCTCGCTGCCCGCTTGCTGCCCGTACTGCTGCTGCGGGGCCGCCTGTTGGGGCGCCTGTTGGACGGGCGCTTCGCCCGATCCGCCTCCGCTGAACAATCCCGTCATGGCGTGTCCGATGGTGTGGCCTACGGCCGAGCCGATGGCGACTCCTCCGGCCGTCGCCGCCATTTGTCCCATCAATCCGGGGCCCTGCGAGGGCGCCGGGGCGGCGTGTACGGGGGCCGGGGGCGCAGGGGCTGGGGCCCTCGCTGGGAGGTTGCTCGATCTACGAATCGAACATGACGAACGTTATTTTTGTTGGTTGTTTTGAGACGTAGTAACGCATAATTTACAGTTTTTTCTTATCATGTCTTACCTGCGAGTTGGTGATGGAGATGCTCGTCCTCTTCTAGGCATTTTTGTGGTTGATTTTCTAAATTATTTCGCAATATTACAAAATATGTGTTATGTAAAACACCAAAAAAGTTCTCACTTATTGCTGTACGAGTGCTTGGCTTATTCGATTCGATAACTTCGTAATTTTAACGAGGATTTCCTGTAAATATGTCATGTGTCACTTACGTCTTATGACGTTTATTTCGTCACGTGATTCTAGATTTTTCAGGCAGTGGTTATAGTGGCGGTTACGGTTGGTTTTTATTATTTTTAATTTTTATCGTTTTATGTAAAATGACTAATTTAGGTATATATTAAGTAATTTTTAAAGTAGAAAATATTAATTTCTTTTATAAGCCTATTAGATAAGTAGTTGAATAAATTTGAAAATGTTGTGAATTGTTAACAAAACGAGAGTGGAATTGTAGACATAATTTTCGAGATTTTTCTGACTGTGGTTATAGGAACGTTTACGGTAAGTTTATTTTTTTATTCTGTTATTTTATATCTTATAACAAATTTTTACTTTTATTGAGCAAATTGTTATGAGAAATTAATTAAACTACGTTACTTTTCTATCAATTAAAAAAAAAATAAACAAAATTAAGCGAAATTTTAACGTAACGTAGTCGCTTTTGTAACCACTATTTTTCTAGATTTTTTTTGAAATTAACGCGCAGAATTTTTTGGAACTCAGCACAAAGTACCACGTGAATATTTTTATATTCTATAAATAAACGTAGCACAGCCAATTAATAAATACAAACATTTGGTGAAATCAATCAAAAATTTTTCGTCATTCTACGAAAAATAATAAAAAAATACTTGGCACAGAGAGTTTGTATTCGAAAGTACCTGGTGTTTCATAATGAATAGTCAATATTTTAATGTTAGAGGTTCAGGACCTCCTAATATTCATATTTTACTAAATACAGGGGGTGTACTTATCAGATATGGTATGGCTTGATATGATATGATTCTAGGGGCGATTGGTACGACTGTTGAAGTGCTCAACGCCCCTCTTAACAATTATTGCGAAAGTTTAGTGGGTTTCAGTTAAATGTTTGGTTTCTTTTGTCGTACGAATGTACGAACGATCAATGCTTTCAAATTTATATCCATTTATAACATTTGTAGACAAGTAACGTGACATATCAATCAAGAAGTTTCCAGACCTTGGTTATGTACGGCCGTAATTGACATTTGACAGCCATTGAGTTTCTTCTTTTATTAGCGAATAAAAAAGAAGAAGTTTCCAGACCTGGTTATGTAAGGCCGTAATTGACATTTGACAGCCATTGAGTTTCTTCTTTTATTAGTGAATAAAAAAGAAGAAGTTTCCAGACCTGGTTATGTAAGACCGTAATTGACAATTGACAGCCATTGAGTTTCTTCTTTTATTAACAAATAAAAAAAAGAAGAAGTTTGTAGGTTAGTGATTCTTAACCAACAAATCAACAATTTTTTGGCAATTAATTTAGGGGGTTTGCACACGATTATAATCCCGACGGACCCTTTAGCATTACCTAGGATGCACCACGAGGAGGAGAATTCTGGAAAACTGGAATGTACATTCATAATCCATCTTCCGCAGGTAACGTAAGTTTGTGTCAATATTTGGATTCTACTATTTACCAGGCAATTATAAAATCATAGGTAGAGGGGTTATAATGATTGTGGGAATATTAAGTAATCAAATGGTTTGTTATAGATTCCTCTTTAAATGATACGAAGTATGTGTTGAATCCCACGAAGTTTTCCAGACCTATCGATGGATCGTTGTACATCCCCTGTATAGTAGGCCTAAATAACATTAAAGCTAACGATTACTGTAATGGAGTGCTGCAGGTAAGTCGAGTTAACCGAACGAATTTGGTTATTTCTTAATTTAAATGCGCAAAATTGCAGGCTTTGACTCTTGTTAATCCGCTTCGGAATGACTTCTCGAGAGGAGAAGAAAATTGCAGTAATGTAAAGAGACCTTCCATCTGCTCCTGCAGAGGTTCGGCGAGCTTATGAGGAAATTGTGGAATCCCAGGAACTTGACAGAGCATGTAGAAGTATCAAGAAATTCTCTCCAATCTGTTGTATCGTGGAGTTAAAAGAGGTTTCAGTTCACTCAGCAGGTTTAGCTAGTTTTATAATGCTTAATTATTGTTATAATTGAGTTATTGTTTGTAGGAGAAATCCGATGGATTTTTTTGTCTTTGGTTCCTGATTGCCGTTGATTGAGCATTGGATGGTTTAAAGAAAAATGACAGTTCATTAAATCTACGGAAATTGAGACGGAATCGCCCCTTTTTGTATCTATCTTGCGATCTACGGCCTTCGCCATTTTGTTTATAGATGAATTTCTGAGAGAATAATAAATATATCATTCCTCAGGTATGCATTTCAAAGCGTTATTATGTTATAATAGGAGTGTATGTAATAATTTGTGATTTGCAGGTGAATTTGTATCGACTCTTAACGAAATTCAACAGGCAAACCGAGAAGGAATAAAAGGAAAACCATTAAAGGAAAATTTCATGAAGAAGTGCGAAATAAGTGTAAGAATTGAGATCGACACATCGATGATTTTAGTACTGTAACGTTTTTGTATTTGTTTTGTAGTTGTATTTGTTTTTATAACGTTTTTGTATTAATATTGTGTTAATATTTCGTCTCTATTTTGTTGCATTTAACGGTAGTGAGTTTATTGTAAGAAAATAAAAATATCGTTGAAAGTGTTTTGTTTTATATATTTTGAAATCGCCATTTAATGCATTTTTTTATAAAAAATCGTTCATACTTAATCATTTATAATGCATTTCTGTTATCTTAGAGGTATATAATAGATAAATTGGTTGCCTACCTACTAGTGTCCATAAATCGATTTTCGATCAATAAATGTAATTCTGGTTGCCTATCTATTGTATTAGTAAGGCGCGAGTAATAAGTATCAGGAGTAAACCTCTTCACACATTCTGTTCTCCTAATACGAATTCTTAAATTCGCAAATTTTTAACTGTACAAAACTATTCTTCCGATTTTTACAAATTGCGTTAAAAAAGTTTTGCGTTTTTTTTTCAATAAACTCGAGAAAAGTTTTGCGTTTTTTTTTCAATAAACTCGAGAAAAGTTTTGCGTTTTTTTTTCAATAAATTCGAGAAAAGTTTTGCGTTTTTTTTTCAATAAACTCGAGAAAAGTTTTGCGTTTTTTTTTCAATAAATTCGAGAAAAGTTTTGCGTTTTTTTTTCAATAATTTCGACAAAAGTTTTGCGTTTTTTTTTAATAAATTCGACAAAAGTTTTGCGTTTTTTTTTCAATAAATTCGAGAAAAGTTTTGCGTTTTTTTTTCAATAAATTCGACAAAAGTTTTGCGTTTTTTTTTTCAATAAATTCGAGAAAAGTTTTGCGTTTTTTTTTTAATAATTTCGAGAAAAGTTTTGCGTTTTTTTTTTCAATAAATTCGACAAAAGTTTTGCTTTTTTTTTCAATAAATTCGACAAAACTTTTAGCATAAATTTCATCCAGGACTTTCCGTAGAAGTACCTATCTCCATAAAATAAACATCTCCTGTTACTAGACTTCCTTGCATATTCTCCTTGCCTAATATCCGAAATTAATCAATGGAGATCTACGAAAACTTGTGCTCAAATCTCGAATTAAAACGCGAATTTAAAATGTCGTAATTGTCGTATTAGGAGAACAGAATGTGTGAAGAGGTTTACTCCTGATACTTATTACTCGCGCGTTCCTAATACAATAGTTAGGCAACCAGAATTACCAAAATTCGATTTATCGGTTGCCTATCTATTGTATAGGAACGCGCGGATAACAGTTTTGTCGATAGTTCGAAAATTTCGATCTTTAAAACGCGAATTTGAAATTTCGTATTAGGAGAGCAGAATGTGTGAGGAGGTTTACTCCTGATACTTATTACTCGCGCCTTACTAATACAATAGTTAGGCAACCAGAATTACATTTAACGATGGAAAATCGATTTATGGACACTAGCAGGTAGGCAACCAGTATTTCGGTCATTAAAAACTTATAAATGCATAATCGTTGCCAATTTTTCAGAAATCTCAAAACGAAATGCCTTTTTATGTAAAATCCTTCAAACGTTTTATTTATTTATTAAAAAAAAACAATATTTATATATAAAAATTTATTAAATACAATACTGTCTTGTAAATAAGCTTCTACAGCGTCTGGAAAAGGCCCCCAATGTTCTAACTATAACCGTAAAGGCGGCTTCGCGTTCGAATACATTTACTTCGAAAATAGTCTCTCAGATCCACTGCACTTGCGCCACCTGTTAGCACATTTTCTGAAATTTCACTGCTCAAAAACCTGAAACTACAAAAAATTACTAGATTCTAGACTGTTGAAGTGCTCAACGCCCCTCTTAAAAAGCATTTATCATTTTTCCGCAACAATATCATCACAATAAAACAACGACAAACATACTATAAATAAACATTTTATTCATCAAGTACAAACAGTAGAATCACAGACAACCAATCGCTCGCTCAACGCCTCGCCAGTCCCAAAACCCCGGCGATCCTCCTACACTTCAACCCCACCTCCTCCTGCACCAAACTGAAGCACATCGCCACCACCACCAACCCCGCAAACACGTAAGCGCCACCGGCCAACGCCTGTCCCAGCCCTAACAATCCGACGCCCGGCGTCGGCGCCCCGTCGCCGATCCCGATCGTCGCCACCGCCACGAAGCACACGTAGACGGCGTCCAGGAACCCCCCGCCGCCGCACGACGACAGCGCCGCGGCGCCCCCCAGCACATACGACGCAAACAAGGCGAAAACCAGCAGGGCAGGCACCGATGAAGATGAGGGCGAAACGAGCGCCATCTCGCGCTCCGGCGAACGCCAGATCAACGGGACCCGGGACGGGGTGTCGTGGGCGCTGCACCTGCAAACAAACCAGCTCTAATCTATCTATTTATAGAGACAAATAGGTGGATTATATCACGTTATTTGGTCGTTTTCGTCGGGTTCCTCGGCGTCCTCCAGATCGGAGGTGACTGCTATACCAACTATAGATGAGTTTACGGTTCTCATGGGGATGTGGTGATGGGAATGCGCCGGACACATCGATGGTACCGTCGGTTCTGTGAGAGTTTGCCGGACACCCGTCTGTCTACACCTGCCTCTGGTGTGGCTGGACCTCACGGTGGCGAGAAGAGAGCGTTTGGGGAACTCCCCCTGCTCCACGTGCTGCCCGTGGTGGTGGTTCTGGCGGAAGTTCGCGTGGTGGTTCGGCGTGTTGTGGATAGACGACGTTTGGATGGACGCGGAATCTGCACGGAAAATAATCGAAATACAATCGGCTGGATTTAGTTGGATGAGTTACCTTCGTGGTTCCTGCAGTATTGCTTGCCGGCCGGACTGGACGGGGCCTTGTGGTAGCCCACGGTGGGGCTCTTCGCGATGGCGCCGTTGGTGTGACAGCACAATTTCGCGTAGGTTTTCTTGGCGCCGCTCGCCAGGAGAGTGCCTAGGGACGATAGCAGGACCAGCATCAGTGGGACGCCGATGATGGAGTAGGCGATCGTGGCGACTTTTCCTAGCGCCGTTTTCGGCGACAGTTTTCCATAACCTAGAGAGTATCGCAATTAAAATGTACATCATGAATCCTGCATGTAAAGGGTGTTTCAATAAGACCGCAAGATTTGAATTGCCTGTCATGTTTGACGGTTATAATGACAAGTGATTGTAACATGACAGATCGAAAGTTGACAGTTAGGAGTTGGTAAATATGGAGCATTGGATCTGGATATGGATCTGGATATGGAATATAAACGCGTCTTGTTTTACACAAGCATTTTGTTTTATACATAATTCCTAAATGTACACATGATAAATTAATAAACATTTCCATATTTTGCTACAGATAACATTGTTTTATTGAACCTTAAAATCTTGCGCTTTTATTGAAACGCCCTTTATTTATGCAGATAAGTGCAAATTTGTACGCAATATGGAGAGTAAGAGTGATATTGACTTAAGAATGTTAAGAGTAAGAACTCTAACCACACTGTTATTTTAATAATCGATCATTGTTTGACTCATAGAATTGACCATATTGCAAATAAATTTGTGCGGTGGAAAGTTTTCAGCGACGATCGAAAAAGTTTCCCATCTGGAAAAGGATTAGGGACGTTTCGAAGTTTTCTATCCTAGCAGAATCGCAGGGATTTTGAATTTCCCGTGTATATACGCGTAGGAAACGCTAAACGGTTTCTGTGGCCATTTTAAACTAAACTTTCAACTAAAACTTCTTCATTTTTTTCATCGATTGAACTTTACTGTCCATCCTCTCATCGCTTTTACCTCGCCACTCACCTTGTATAGGATTAAAACGTTGCCCCATTCCCAACGAAACAGCCTGTGTATTATTAATTGTAGCTTATCGATCCGAGCGTGTTGTTATCATTTTGTAACGTCGACTGCGAGGGCGATATCAAATTCACTTACCCACAGTGGTTAGCAAAGCTATAGAATATAGCAAAGCCTCGGCGAAGCTCCATTGAACCGGAACCGATCCGGCCGAATTTTCCATCCTCTTCGACTCCACCACGATCCTCTCGAACCGCCTCAATTGCTCGGTCACCAATTTCGTCCAGTTCTTTTCGTACAGCACGTTCAACCGTTCTGGAACGAAACGAAACTTTACTCAATGAAAAGGCGAATTTTAAATTTTAATCAGATTTATTTAAATTTCTTAACTATTTAGTTAAGGTCGCCAAAGCACGCCTTCAAATTCATAATTCGTGGAGTAATATTGAACTATTTAGGAAAGATTCAAGTCAATTGATGAATCTTACTGGAATTACTGAACCTATGTCTTCCCTTTTAAAAATACCCTGAAGTGGCGGCCTTAAGTAAAAATCATAATAAAATTCTCTCTCTAAAAAAATCTTTGAAATAAACAACATTTTCTACATTATTATGAACTTCTAGAATATAATTGACTATTTCATCTTCCAATTCACTCGGTAATGTTGATTGTTTCCAAATTTTTGGGTGATATCATTAAATGATTTGTTTTGGATGTATCTTTTAGAAGAATTCAAAAAGCCCATTTTCTTTTCTCCTGCATTTTTAATTGCCTCCTTTGGATTCGCTAGAAAATTAGATCGTGCGTTGCAAAATTGCATCGTTTCATGTCCATTTCATCATGAATAAGATGAATAGTCGCGTGACGAAAGTCGTGGAATCGAAAGAAGTAAAGTTGATTTTTTTGCATCGATCAGAGATAATAGTTTTCCGCGCATCAAATCAGAACCTTCCGATAAATCCTCCTTAAGGATAAACGGCCTCAAGGATAAACGGATAAGGGAATTCGACTAATAACGCGTTGTCGGCGAGAACGTAAAACGTTATTTCGATAATAGAGCATCACGTTCCGTCGGTATATCGAGATCAGGACAATCAAGTATAACGAGTAGCGCGAATGGAGAAAGGACATCGGTCTCTCTATCTCGGCTATCTTTCTGATTTTTTTTTTTTTTTTAGGGTTCTCTTTTTCCCCTTTTTTTTGCACCCCTATCTCGAGTGCGCGAGTCGAGTACGTAAACAAAGTAGCATGGAAATGTCGCCGAGTGGAAGGATACGACTTGCATTTTTACATAAACTAGGGAGAAAACGGTTCGTTAACTATGCGGAAAATCGACTTTAGCGTTTGTTTCGGACTTGAACTGGCGAGTTTTCAGTTTTTCCAACTCGTCTGAGTTGTATTTTTTTTTTGTTTTTTTAAATGCCCGTCGGGGATTTTAAATAGATAGAGGATGTTATAGTAAGATTAATAATTGCCTACAATACAATTAAACATACAGTACAATTTTCAATTTGTTCCACACCATTTCCAACTGTATTTCAGAAAGAGTCAGGTATATTACCCCACGAATTATGAATTTGAAGGCCTTAAGAAAATTCTTAGAATTGTGACGTGCATTGATATTCGTTTTGCACCAGCTGTATATGGGATATATCGATGAAGCATTTGGTCTGTTCTAAGTTGTAATGTCTTGTGCAAAGCCTCGACTATCGCGCGAATTTTCCTCATTAATATTCCACGTGCAGCTTAAAGGAAAATTCAATCTCGAGTCGAAGCGACACGTCGAGTTTTCCGCACACACGCCATTCCGATTCAATAATTATTCGACGTTACGAATTATTATTATTTCGAGCGGTAAAATTCATTGTTCGAAACGTGACGGAATTAGATCGGTTAATAGGCTGTTAGAATCGATTTTCGCAACTGGAAATTAGGAGTTTTTGCGTTATGTATCTCTCGTTATGAAGGATTTCAATGACAATCCGGCAACGTCGCAACATGCTGGCTCGTGACGTCATTGTCGCTTTAAAACGTACGAACTTTACTGCTATAATTTAGTGAATTTCTTTTGGAAGGAACTGGAAAAATATGCCGGTCTTGAGTTCCCTAAATCCGATCGATAGGCGGCCGGAGAAGAGATAAATCTCGGCCCGGAGAATAATCATGATTGATAATAGTGTATGCTGGAGTTAAATACCGTTCGGGGTACTCGGCAAACGGCCCTATTGGAGTCGAAACTTCTCGGAACTAATTATTTAAAATCGTCCTTGTGTGTTACTGCACAATCGATTATTCGAGTTGCGTCGGTATTGTGATAGTGTAGAACATTAATTTGTGGTAATTATTAACGGGATGTCTGCATATTGTTAGGGATGGGTTTGTGTGAAAAGGAGTGAAGCTCTTTGTGTGACAAAAAAGTCGAAATATCACGATAATTTGGGGTTTTTGAAAATTTTTTGTTCTTTGAAAGTTGTAGAGAATTGTTTTATGTGTACAATGATGAAAAATTCGTTTATTTATCTCGATTAGTTTTTGAGATAATTGATGTTATTTGAAGAATTGTACTAAAAATTAGTTTTTTATGTATTTGTAACAAAAAAATCGAAATATCTCGATAATTTGAAGGTTTTTAAAAATTTTTGATTCTTTAAAAGTTGCAAAGAATTCTTTTTTCTATAAAGTGTTGAGCAATTCGTTTATTTATCTTGATTAGTTTTTGAAATAATTGATGTTATTTGAAGAATTGCACTAAAAATAGTTTTTTTTGTATTTGTATTATATAAAAAAGTCGAAATATATCGAAAATGTGGAGGTTTTTAAAAATTTCCGATTCTTTAAAAGTTGTAGAAAATTATTTTTTCTATAAAGTGATGAACAATTCGTTTATTTATCTTGATTACTTTTTTAGATAATTGATGGTATTTGAAGAATTGCACAATTTTTTTTATCCTTTGAAGACTCATTTTCTCATTTTTAATAATACCAAACAATTTGAATGTAGGTATAGTACATTCACATTAATTCAGTTGTGACGTCACCACCTAAACTTTTTTATATTATACATAGCGAGTATTATGAAAAACGGGATGGGTTTTGCCAGTTTAGGATGCTCGTATATTCAATTTAAACTTTCTTACAGCAACAGCGAGAAACTCTAAAATATCTATTCCCATAGTTCGAATGCTGTCGAGTCGGAAACTTACCGCTGCGCTTCGCGTTCTCCAATTTCCCATGAATGCTCGAATAAATTGCCAGGTAACGGATAGAAAATCGAATCGAACGCGAAAGGAAAAACCTCCCCTTTTTTCCTCCCCCCATATCTATTAATTTTTGCTTCGGAAACATCTCCATTCCGCGCTCGGTAAAGTTGTTGTAAATTTTTTCGACAATTATGAGAAACATTTCCCGTACTCGCAACTCCCATAAAACATCTTAAATAACCGAGTTTCTTCGTCAACTCCACCATCTCGCGCGGAAATTGAATTCTGCCCCCGAATATTACTCGTATCGCGCGCACTTTAAATTTAATAACGCGCATAGTAGCAAAATAAAGGCGATGTTAAAAAGTGTAGAAGGTGGATGAACTTTTTTTATGGGTGAAAAAGGGCCGGTGAAAAAAATTCCTAATGAAATTGTCTCTTTATTTTGATTCACGTCCGCATTCAAATTGTTTTATCGTGTTAACTGTATTAAAACGGTTTATATGCGGCCGTTTTGGGCAATTTAGAGGTGGTGGTGCTAAAAAATTTCGCTCTTTTCGTGTGTAATAATCGAGATTAGACGGTGAGTAATGAATATACCGCTTCTACTATTCGTTTTTTTTTATATTTTAATAATTTTCTTTTTTTTTCGCTCCCCTTAAAACCGTTTCATTTCGAAAATAAGCTCCAAATTGACGGCTTATGAGATTCTAAATGAAATAAATAACTCGTCTCGAGAGGATAAGTCCCCTTCCTAATGCGGCGCTTTTATGAAATATACATTTCATTTTTACGCAAGGCGCTGATGGTGTTTATTTTTAATTTTGTATTAAAAACGAATTTCGCTCTTACTTCGGGGGGGGTTTTAATCCGAGCACCTACTTAAATTCGAAACGAGTTTATGCTATCAATTTTTTACTTATGCACATTATACCTAATTTTTCTTTTTTTATAGACTATAACGTTTTGTGTCGAAGAATTTCGAATTTCTTGCACCCATTTTAAGCAAAAAAATACCCACTTAAACACCTTGTATAATCGACATTTCTACCCTCAAAACAAAAGGAAACGAAGTATAAATGCAAAACATTCCTCGGTCGAAATCTCCGACCTGAAGTTTTATAAATCATCCCTTGGCGCTTTCGAAGCGATGTAAATTCGTTTAGAAGAGAATTCAACAAGTGATCCCCCGAACTTCTCCATTTTTACACCGTCACCGGACAGAATTTCCGCGAACTTTCCGCGACAGATACAAAAAAAAACGCAATGGATAAAACAAATAAAAAAATCTGCCTATCCTACAACCCGATTTCATCGAACATTTCCCCGAATAATCGTATGTAAAACTGGTTGCCTAATTTCGATGTGCATAGCGGGTTGTCTACGCATCAGACACACCTCCGGGGGATCCACCGAAATGTATGCAAATTGGACTTTTCGAAAAATAAATCGAATCTCGCCGCTGGAAATATCGCCATACGATATTCCGGCGGGCTTCAATCATTAAGTATACATGCGCATATCTTTTATGATTCCCCCGAAAGTCTCCGTATGGTGCCCGGAAGGACGGTCGGTTATCTTCCGATGATGAAAATTCATAAAAACCACTTGACCGGGAGGCCGTAAATGCATGTAAGGGATGTAGAAAGGAAATTGTCGAGATAAGCACCGACGAGGACTCTACCATTATACCCTCTTTCGAGTCTTTTGCGTCGTATAATAAAACGTGAAAGGGCCTTTTCGAACATTCGCCGATACAGGGTGTTCCATAATGACATGCTAATATTTAAGAGGGCGAATCTTACAAGCACTTTTGGAACATTCCTACAGCGAAGGTCTTGGCAACGCTGTAACGAACAGCTCTCTGACGGTTGAGGCCTTTCAACGAGGAATTAGATATATGCAAATTCGTACAATTACTTACAAACGGAGCTAATTACGTTTTGCAAGACTGTTTTGTTTAATTCCCGAACGGAGTTCAAAACAGCGTCGGTTTTATTTTCCAACAACTGAGCAGTTAAGAATGTTAGAGCGGCGCTCGCGGGGCTCTAAAAAAAAACACCTATACATATACCTGCGTACGTTGAATTCCGGGTAAAACGTAGAGTGTTTTA